GGGGGCGTTTGCGGAGAAGGGAATGTTCTAACATAAAAATAAAATATAGATTAGATCAGGAAGGGAGATAGAATCCTAAATTATGTGAATTGGAACGGAGGGGAAAAGTAAAGAGGGCCCTTATTTGCAAAAGATTCCCCACCACCCCATATAGATAATTTAACACATGTGAGGAATCCGATGTGCTGAAACTCGTTCCCAATATTTGCAGGGCTCAGACGTAAGGGATAACATAAAAATAAAATATAGATTAGATCAGGAAGGGAGATAGAATCCTAAATTATGTGAATTGGAACGGAGGGGAAAAGTAAAGAGGGCCCTTATTTGCAAAAGATTCCCCACCACCCCATATAGATAATTTAACACATGTGAGGAATCCGATGTGCTGAAACTCGTTCCCAATATTTGCAGGGCTCAGACGTAAGGGACATCAGGCACTTTCCCTCTGGAGCCTTTTGCAATTGTGAGAGGGTTGGGTTTTTTTTTTAAAAAAGGGAATCAATGCATAAATAATAATATAGATATCTTAAGAACTGAGTCTTGAGGGATCAGCCTCAAAGTCTCTTTAGTTTAGTGTTCAATTTCCAGCAATGGAAAAAAAACCCTACAAGTACAGCATGAAAGCAGCAACCTTCTCTTCTGGCTGACTTTTAACACCTGGCATTCTGAGGTATACAGCTATTGCACATGGAGGTTCGTTGCCAATATATTTCTGTTATCTAGTGTTAGTTCTGTTGTCCATGGTCTTGTCTGATCATCTCTTGGAGGTTATTTAAGTTAGTAGTTCTCACTTTTTACAGCTTAATAATGGATCTTACAAGGGAGTTGCTTTTTGTCTAGCTTGACTGTGTATAATCAAGTAACTAAAGGTCTGGTGTTGGGGAAGGTTGGAAGAGGGAGAGAGAGAGGATTCTCTTGCTTTACCAGATTGAGTACTGATATGAACATGAAACAGTGAAGAAATGATCTAAAATTCAGCCTGTCATGACCAGAAAATATTAAGTCATCCAAGGGAAATTATCACCCCATCTGTAATCTCTAAATGCCTCTAAAATGACTTTTGTAAACAGTGTTGCAGAAGTACCATTGACTTGAGGCAGGGGCAACTTTGCATTACAAGGCCCTGGAACGGCACAGTACGATGTCATTGTAATCTATATTCTGAGCACATAGTGTGTGTGCCACTGTGTCAGACATGAGCATGTTTCTTGTTGGGCACACAACATTGTTGTTTAAAATTTCAGTCGGTGTTATTTAGAAGCCTATGGTGAGTAGCACAAACTCTTCAGAATTGTTCAAGATCAAACAATATGCTACTGTGTTTCCTCAAAAATAAGACAGGGTCTTATATTATTGCTCCAAAAAACACATTAGGGCTTATTTTCTGGGGATGCTTTATTTTTTTAATGTACAACAATATTTATTAAAATACAGTTGTGTCATCTTCTTCTGGTTGCTGCACAATGCTGCACAATGGTGGAGGGCAAAGTTTCACTTAACTGGGGCTTATTTTGGGGGTAGGGCTTATATTATGGGCATTCTAAAAAATCATACTAAGGCTTATTTTCAGGTTAGGTCTTATTTTCAAGGAAACAGGGTAGTTGTCCTATTGTTGTCTTTTCCCAGAGTCCACATGTATCTGAGTATCATGTTGAAGTACTAAAAACAACAGCCAGAATCCTGCTTGCTTTAAAGGTTGTTCTAATGCACTATGGCTAATTGCAGCTAATTGACGGAGTTCCGGGGCACATCTCAGTTGTGTGTTTGGTTGCAGATCTGGTTCCAGAGTGGAGATATGCCCTAGCACCTTTTCAGTTAGCTACAATTAGCAATGCAAATTATGCAAACTTTACATAAATACCAGTAGGATTGTAGCTCATGCCCACAACTGGACTTCAGATGCAATTTGTTACTTTCATTTATTCGCTTTTTTAGTTGCGTCCACTAAAGACAACATGAGAAATCTAAAACTTCTGAGAGTGCGGGAATGCCAGCCAGTTCAAGCTCTTGGAACACCTCAGGGTTTCTGTATCCGCTCCGACAGGGGGACGCTTTTAATCACCACCGAGTATGGAATTGTGGAGCTAGATCCAGTCACACAAGAGGTAAGGCTCCACATGGCAATTATGTCAGTTACGGATTCATCTGCTTATTAGAAGTAATCCAATCATGCTTCCAGAGTGTAAGGGTCAGTTAACAGGGTACTGTCATTGCCCAGAGGATGGCCGAATGTATTCACAGTTCTTGCAGTATTTGGGAAGGCTTCTTCTATGTCCCCAGTTATAGAATTATATTCTGAGGCAGATTCTTAGCACCACTGCTTATTTTTTTCCATTTTCAGAACAAATAGGTGTCCTTCCCTGCATTTTGTCTCCTATCATTGTTCTTTTGAGTGCGATGCTGTGATAGTCATGCATGAATCTTCAGGATTCCTAAGAATACAGCTCAAAAAACAAGTACATTGTAGAGGGAGTTTATGTTTTCCTAGATACCACACTGTTGTAAAAAAAAATCCCAATAAAAAGGCAAATTTAATTCAAATATTTCCAATCTTCATGTAGGCCATTACTGTTGAGTAAATGTAAAATGATTTACAATAACTATTCTAGTTCTACATAGCCGAAACTAGGGTTTCACATTGTACAATGTGTGAAACAGTAAGGAACAACAATACATAATCTAAAACCTTTGCTGCCGTCAGTCTTTCTAAGAGCCATCTCCTATTGCAGTGTCATGTAACGTGGGAGCGGATGATATTCTTATCATTGTCTCTCGTTTAAAGGTGGCAAATGAAATTCCTTTGACTGCTGAGGGTTTTCTCCCAGAAGATGGAAGCGGGCTCATAGTGGGTATTGAGGACTTGCCTGATCAAGAGTCTGTCTGTGTGGCTACAGCAACTGGAGATGTTATACTGTGCAACTTGAACACAAACCAGGTACAGCTTTGGTAATGCCAAAGGAAGGCATGAAATAAGACACCCTGCCTTAACTTTATTAGTCTAATTGGTTTGGGATGGGTAGCCTTTGTCCTCTGTTTTAAGTGTAATATATTGACTCCTTGAAATTTTCTGCATGTGGTAGGAAAAAGTATCTGTAAGGGATTTACACTGCCGTGTATCTATATTTTGCAGTGTGTGCATGTAACAGGAAATCACAGCCAGTGGCAGCTTTCCCATCATGTGGAAACGCTGAATCTCATTTTAATTGTAATTGTCGAGTTTTTTCCTCTATTTTTAAAAAGTATAGACTTTGGTGTGGGTATAGTTCACATCAGGCTAGAGCACACCCATTGGTTAAAGCTCAGTGAAGGTATTCTCTTGTGTAAGACTATGAAAACATATATGGATTTTAAAGGATGATAGATTAGAATAGGAGCTTACATAAGTATTGGCCAGAATCTTATTGGGGATTTATGCTTGTGTAAATGAAATCATGTAAGCCCACAGTGGCAAATTGTTGTTAATAAACACGTGATGGCGCTGTGGGCTAAACCGCAGAAGCCTGTGCTGCAGGGTCAGAAGACCAGCAGTCGTAAGATCGAATCCATGCGACGGAGTGAGAGCCCGTTGCTTATCCCAGCTCCCGCCAACCTAGCGGTTTGAAAGCATGCAAATACAAGTAGATAAATAGGGGCCACCTCGGTGGGAAGGTAACAGCGTTCTGTGTCTTAAGTCGCACTGGCCATGTGACCACGGAAGAGTGTCTTCGGACAAAACGCTGGCTCTATGGCTTGGGAACGGGGATGAGCACCGCCCCCTAGAGTCGAACATGACTGGACAAAAATTGTCAAGGGGAACCTTTACCTTTAACATTAATACAATTTTGGATGCATTCTGGACATGCATTATGTGCTGTACACCTAGAAATGCAACCTACGCCCTGTTTATTAGTGGCAATTTGCTCCCATGTCTTACACAATTTAATTTACAGAAGGGGAAATCGCCAGCAGATTCTAGCCATTGATGCAGGCCAAAGCCCTGGGAGAACTGATGGGGGAGAAACTTGACCTGCTTGATTTCTCAATGTGAGGTTGCCATTAAAGGTATGAGAGCCGTGTTAGTCACAGGTCTTGATTCTTTTGCAGCTGGAATGTGTTGGCAGCGTGGACAGTGGCCTGACTGTGATGAGCTGGAGTCCTGACCAAGAGCTGATTCTTCTCGCTACAGGTGCAGAGCAAAGCTGCAGAATTTACTCCTCAGTCGTTTTATCCTTTTGGCTCCGTGCATTTGTAGCGTTTGCTCATTGCAAAATGTGGCATACAAATGATAGCCAAGAGTGGGAGCACACGTTTTCTCTTCTTCAGTACGCATTTCCAATGCTAGAGGTATTCATGAGAAAATTAGGCAACCATCTGTCAGATCTACTTTGATTTTGATTCCTGCATTGAGCAGAGGGTTTGGAGTCCATGGCCTTGTAGGCCCCTGCCAACTCAATTATTCTATGATTTTATGATTCACCTCTCTCTCTTTGTTGATTTAAAACATAGATTAAAGAGACTGGGTATGCATATATCAACAGGGTTTTTGGACAAAATGGAACACACACACCCACAACAACTCTGCTGCTTATTGGTACATATATTGGCGAGAGGTGGAGGTGGAGGCATCCACTCACTGCCCATTGACTGCTGCCGCTGCTGGAATCTCCTCCTCCAGTACCACTCGCGGGCTCCCTTCGGGCAGGGAACAAGGCGGAGATGTGAGCTGGAGGTGAGCCCTGGCAGTCACACTGGGGGAGACGATTGGATGGGGGCGGCAGCAGTCAATGGGCAGCCATGAGAGGCGGCCAAGTGCGGCTGCTGCTTTGCCTCCGCCTCCTTCCATGTATAAAACGACCCTCAAATTTTCCCTCTAATGATTCTAGGAAATAGTGTTTTATACACAGAAAAATATGGTATGCTGTTTGTGATATGTTTGCGCAACTAGATAAGCGAATTTGTCCAAATGTTTGTAAGCCATCTTCAAATCCTGATTAGAAGAGCCTGCTTAGCATTTAAACACAGTTAGCATTGGTGCACTTGTGACACTAAACTAAGAATGGGCAAAGCACAGCCCTCCGGGCAGTGTTGAATTGCCATCCCCATCAACCCTAGGCAGCACAAAGCAATGGTGAGGAATGCTGGGAGTCCAGTCCAACAACGTCTGGGGTACAAAACCCTGCCCTGGACTTAATCATGTTAAGGGCAAAGTGTGGTGAAATACCACTGAAGAGGACAGGAGGAATAGGGTGCCTGCAGGCATTTCAAAGCCTACTTCATAATTTGCAAACTATAGTTTGCAGGGGGCTAGTGCTATATCCAGGGATGGGGACTTGAGTTACGGGACTTGCTGTCAAGTTAGACTTAAGTCACATTAATAACTCAGCTCGGACTAGACTTGGGTTTGTTCCCCTCCAATGATTTGAACTTGATTTGCAACTCAGAACTCACCATTTTTTCTGGGGAAAAGAGCTTATTTTTAATAAGACTTGGGCTTTGGGACTTAGAACCAGGTACCAAAGACTTGGACCCAAAGGCTTGCCAACATCCCTGAGGATATCTGCAGAAGACTGTGCCTGTAGGTCCTGTGGATTACTACTGAAGAAGCAGATTGTTCTTCTTTTTTAAGGCAATGAATATAATACCCTGCTATTTTGCTGGCTGTTCATTCAACTGATTCTCTCTCCCCCCCCCATATCCAAGCTTAGTACGTATTGCAGAAAAATCCTGACATACAGAGGGTCTGTTATTCTGTTCCATTCTGCGTTAGAAGTAGGGGTTTTTGAACTTTGTTCCAAATGTCTTCTCTAAATCTTAAGCTGCCCAGTCAGCGATTACAGACTAAGGGCTTGGGATTCTGTGTTTCATTAATTTAGGCAAGTCCTGGTTTAATACAAGTTTATTTAATTTGAGAGCTTGTTATGTGTTTATTGTGCGACAGGTCAGCAGACACTCATTCTGATGACGAGGGATTTCGAACCAATTGCAGAAAGACAGATCCATCAAGATGACTTTGGAGAAGGTGAGCAGATGCTGCAGACGCTGGAACCTGAAAAAACACATTATTGTTACTTGACACACACGCACGCGCACACACACACTCTACTGTATATAAACTGAATACAGGGACCAGTGTGTTGTAATGCATAGAGTGATCGACTGGGACTCAGAAAACCTGGGTTTAAATCCCTGTTTGGCCATGGAAACTCATTGCAGGGTAGTAATAGTAAAAACAGTCTTTAAATATCTCACTTATGTTGAAAATCCTATAATTATAAGCGAAATGTGACTTGCTGGAAAATAACAGAGAACTCAAAAAGAAAAGAAAAGAAAAGAAAAGAAAAGAAAGAGAAAAAAAGACTAGAATATACTGGACCCGACTGACCAGTTTGACTGTTACAGTATTTTGGAAACATTTTCAACATAATGCATTTTGAAGTATTTTAAAAGCCAGAGAAATATAGATTCCTGCATGACGGATAGCTGTGCATTTGCTAGTGGAGCAGCTGTGGGTTAAGCTGATAATCACAGCAGATCAAACCATATTTCTCCCACTGTATAGTTGCACCCTAAAATCCCTTCAGTTGCCTTATTTTCTTTTAATTGTCTATTACAGCAGCTGAAATCCTATTGCACAGGTCCACGTATGTAATGATGATGCCGTCAGCAACTGCAGATTGCCATTGATGAAAGGCTATCTTTGATGGATGCAGCTTCATTACTTTTTTTACGAGCTGCATGCATCCCAGAAGCACCTTTAATCACAAGTGATTTGCTACTGATGGTGATATTGTCATCAGAGCACACACAGCTGCATAATAGGATTTTAGCCATTGTATAGTATGTTGCACTACATTTGGTGGAAAAAAAATTTCAGCACTGTCTTAATTAACTACCTTATTTTTGGCCCGCTCTTATTTATAGGGAAGTGGGCTTGTCCACAAAAGCTCATACTAAAATATAGTAAGGTAAAGGTAATGGTTCCCCTTGACATTTAGTCCAGTCATGTTCAATACTAGGGGCGGTGCTCATCCCTGTTTCCAAGCCGTAGAGTCAGCATTTTGTCCATAGACAGTTTCTGTGGTCACGTGGCCAGCGCGACTAGACACAGAACGCCGTTACTTTCCCACCATGGTAGTACCTATTTATCTACTTGCATTTGCAAACTTTCAAACTGCTAGGTTGGCAGGAGCTGGGACAAGCGACGGGAGCTCACTCCATAATGTGGATTTGATCTTACGATGGCTGGTCTTCTGACCTTGCAACACAGAGGCTTCTGCAGTTTAACCCACAGTGCCACCACGTCCAAATATAGTAGCTAGTCACAGTTTTTTGTCTTCTTTATTTGTTATTTGCCTTTTGTTTTTGCCTGATATGTTATTATAGACTAACGCGGCTGTCTCATCTAAAACTAGCATACTTTCATCTGCTTGATATTTTATTGAACGTAAAAATAGGAAATACCTAGAGCTTAACAATATTTTTTAAAATTAATGTTAGCATTAGCTATTTCTAAATGTGTGCCGATTTATGTTTTTGGACTACAACTCCCAAAGTTCCCCTGGTGCTTAAGGGGAATGCTATCTGGAGAGTGCTGGAAGTTATACAGTAATCCAGAAAAATAAGTCCACAGACCTTTAGCCATTTCATTTTTAAAAAACAGTCACTAGTTTAAGAATATTTTTGCTGCTTTTCAGTGTTTTTACATTTACTTTAAAAATAGAAAACTGGCCCCAACTTTCCAAATATCACCTCAAAAATAATGGCTTGCAAGTTACAAGTGAACATTATTTACTACATGTATATAACAGTAAGGATGTTACCAATTACGATTCTACTTTGCAACAGTAACAATAAAATCATAACAATGGATTTGCTGTGCTCTCATTACTTCCAAGTTCTGAAATCACCTTAATTTAAATAAGAAGCAAGCTTAGCCATTGATGATTTCAGAGCACTTGTTTGAATAGGTTTATCAATGATAAACATGAATGAATTTGATCAGTCCTTAAAAGGGAAAGTATCAGGAAGAAACCTGTCAAAGATCAGAATATGAATGTTTTTGTTTTTCTTTTAAATTGTATTTGAATCAAGGCTTCTTGAATATTGTGAGGACTGCTCTTGGTTCCATTTGCACCTGGGAAATGCAGGACATTGTGTGGCTGTTATAGTGTGGTCTAAAACTTGAAGAATGTTTGGAGAGCTGGAAGGAATATTTAGAAAAGTTGAGACCGTCATTTTTTTTTGTCAAGTTGTTAACAATTAAATCCTCAGATGCTGTTATTTGCTTTACTTCTAGGGAAGTTTATTACTATTGGATGGGGTAAGAAGGAGACACAGTTCCATGGATCAGAAGGCAAACAAGCTGCTCACACCAAGTTACTGGTATTGTATTTCTATAAAAATACAAATGCTAGTATTAAATGTGGGGAGCCTTGGACTGTCCATATTCAAAATATATATTCAAATTGCTGCAATGAATAAGGTAACTGGTGTAGTGATTTTGGAGCTGGTGTAGCAGTAAGAGTGTTCAGCTTGACCTGAATAGATCCATGTTCAGCCATGGAACTCCCTGCATGATCTTGGTTGAGTTGAACAAATCATATTGGCATGTATTGCTAAACCAGGATCTCACATTTCATGCACAACACTGGCAACCTAAGCAGAGGCTAGAGTTCACATGTCTCTCACTTCCTGTCCTCCCACATGGCTGGGAGGAGGAAAAAGCTAATGCTTCTATTTCACTCATGCCAACTCTTGGCTTGTCCTTTCTTACATGGCTATCAATGGTGAAGGTATGAGAACACAACCAAGTTGGAGTTCAAGAGGACCTTATGCTCTAAGCAGAACCCTAAATTAAATAGATATCGCTATCTATCAGGACCGGCAACTGGAAAATATGGCTCAGATTTGCCCTCTGAAGGAAAGCTGGCTGGATACTATGAGAAGGAAAAGATGGAAAGCATTTTGAGATGTGAGAGTCAATGCTGTCATGATCACTTTAAATTCACATACAGTGGTAGTACTCTCTTAATTTTTCAGCTATTTCCATGCTGGCTAAGTCAATGAAGATTATGATAGAAAACAAACCAGGAGGGAAGTCAGAAGACACAGCATATGTGATTTCGGTCCAACTATAAAACCATCTCCTGTTCCAGGGATAGGCAATCTCCAGAGACTCTTAAGGTCACAGAGTCATATACTGTATACAAACATACAGTGGTGCCTCACACAACGATGAATTCACACAACGATGCCTTTTTCTGTCAAATTTGCTGCCTCACACAGCGATGTTTCCTATGGGGGATTTTCACACAACGAGCTCCCTTTTCACTCCTTTAAAAGTGTCTTACAATGTTTAGAAGCTGTTTTAAATGATTGCAGTGGTTAGTCCACCGCCTGAAACCTATGCAAACTGGTTTTGGTGTTGTTCTGACACTTCGTTAATTTATGATGATTTTTTGAATTTTCTCCATTGGAAACCATTAGACAGACCATCCAATGGTTTCCAATGGAGAAAATTCAAAAAATCATCATAAATTAATGAAGTGTCAGAACAACACCAAAATCAGTTTGCATAGGTTTCAGGCGGTGGACTAACCACTGCAATCATTTAAAACAGCGTCCAAACATTGTAAGACACTTTTACAGGAGCGAAAAGGGAGATCGTTGTGTGAAAATCCCCCATAGGAAACATCGCTGTGTGAGGCAGCAAATTTGACAGAAAAAGGCATCGTTGTGTGAATTCATCGTTGTGTGAGGCACTCGTTGTGCGAGGCACCACTGTATATACCCTTGGACATTGGAGAAGCAGTTCTGCAATCCCTGCCCCAGCCCTATTTTTTAGATATATATTTTTTTTCACTGATAAAAACTGCTTATATCCTCTAGTGGCCAGTTTTTTAAAATTGTCAGGGGAAAGTTGTTTGGTGGCCCTCAAAGCATCAGAAATTATTCCCATAAGGAGACTTCATGAGTCTATTTCTCCCCCCAAAAAAGTATTGATTTTCTAAATTATTTTTATTTAATTTGGATTTCTATCCTGCCCATCTAGATCCAAGGTCTACTACGTATTTATTGGGGTGGGTGGCAAAGAAAAGGGAAGCTGGAAGTTGCATTTGGCCGTTAGGGACTGCATGAGGCTTCTGGGCTACAAGTTGCCCACCCCTCTCCTCTTCCTTCTGGAAATCTACAACACCTTGCTTTCCTAGGAAGTGTCACCTGCTTTGCCATGGGATGACCGTAGACCTCGGATCACCTGGAGAGGAGATGGACAGTACCTTTCCGTGAGTGCTGTTTGCCCAGAGACAGGTTGGTATGAATGCGAAACAACAGCATGCTTCTTGCTAGTAGATCTTCCTTGGGCAAGGAAGAGAAAGGACGACTGTGCTTTTAAAACTTGCCATTGTGCAATGTATGATGTTTCTGTCTACACCTTAATGACAATTCAGTATGAGTGGAGTTTGACCTAGTGACCTCCACTCATACTTGACTGTGACTTTCACTGTCTCTAGCCACCGTTTGTGATTGGCTGGAGAAAGTGGAATTGTAGTCCAGCACAAGTAAAGTACACCAGGGTAGAGAAAAGGACTCAATGGAAGAAGAAATCCCAAGGAGAATTAGGTAAATATGGATGCTTCCAGTTCCAAGGGACCCTTATTCTGGATAGCTAAACAGCTTAGCTCCCTGACTGCAGAGCCAGAGGTTGGGAGTTCAATTCCCCACTGGGCCTCCTTGACAGGGACTGGACTTGATGATCCATAAGATCCCTTCCAGCTCTGCAGTTCTAAGGTTGTTATTATTATGACTCAGTTTCAGAGACCACATGGATGAGCCAAAATGTGGAACAGAGTTAAGAAAGCACAAGTGCTGATGCTTTTGAACTGTGGTGCTGGAGGAGGCTCTTGAGATTCCCCTGGACTGCAAGGAGAACAAACCTATCCATTTAGAAGGACATTAACCCTGAGTGCTCACTGGAAGGACAGATCCTGAAGCTGAGGCTCCAATACTTTGGCCATCTCTCATGAGAAGAGAAGACTCCCTGGAAAAGACCCCGATGTTGGGAAAGTGTGAAGGCAAGAGGGGAAGGGGATGACAGAGGATGAGATGGCTGGACAGTGTCATTGAAGCGACCAACATGAATTTGACCCAACTCCGGGAGGCAGTGGAAGACAGGAGGACCTGGTGTGCTCTGGTCCATGGGGTCACGAAGAGTCGGACACGACTAAATGACCAAACAACAACAATAGAAGCCTTGTGGGTGGAGAACATACAGATGTATATCACTAGCCATGGGGTTTCTGCACACACATGCACACATATACAAACGCAAAAAAAATATACGCTCTGCCATTATAGGAAGCCATTTCATTAATTTTGCAAAAAAAGGAGGAAAGATTCCATCAAGTGGGCTGCAGTCAATGGATGTCCGTGTACTCACAGTATCCTTGCCTATATTCAGGTAGGAATTCTGGGAGAATGTTTTTCAGAAGACATAGGTGAAAGATTAACTGCAGCTCCTGAGACTTTCACAGATATCCTAATCAGTTCTCTCAATCTCTGCGTTTCTCTCTCTTCCAAAATGCAGGGGCTCGGAAAGTTAGAGTGTGGAACAGAGAGCTTATTTTGCAGTCTACAAGTGAGCCTGTCCCTGGATTAGAGCAAGCTCTGGCTTGGAAGTGAGTAAGGAGCAACACTTGATGCATGTGGCACGTAAGGAGTTTGCGTTCTACTTTCCCATTGCCTGGTGGCTAACTGTGCACCTCAGTGGTAGCGATTCAATCTGTGCCTTCCCTTGGTACTTAAGAATAGAAGTAGAGGATGGCTTTGTACAGTGGGGACAGAGGGCATTGTTGTGACAGTGATGTTCGGTCTGTATGATACAGGGATGCCACTTCCAGGTTCTGTCTTTTTGTCAGATTCTGTTCTCATGGAGAGCTGTGAAGGAAAGGAACGCTTAGTTGCCAAATGGGTGTGTGGTGTAGAATACACGGGCGGGGGGGAGGTAGTCTCTTGCAGTGTATGGGTCATCCTTCTTTCATCCCTCCACCTCTTCTAATACTAGAGGGGATATCTATGCTGCACTGTACTAGCGGTTTGGTATTAATGTATTCTCGAAGGCTTTGACGGCCAGGATCCGATGGCTGTTGTGGGTTTTTCGGGCTGTTTGGCCGTGTTCCGAAGGTTTTTCTTCCTAACGTTTCGCCAGCCTCTGTGGCTGGCATCTTCAGTGGACAGGAGTTAGAACTCCTGTCACAGAACTCCAGAACACAAAGTTCTAACTCCTGTCCTCTGAAGATACCAGGCACAGAGACTGGAGAAATGTTAGGAAGAAAAACCTTCGGAACACGGCCAAACAGCCCGAAAAAACTACAACAACCACAAGTTTGGTATCACATTAGCTGCTATGGCTTCCTCCTACAGAAACCTGTGATTTCTAGTTTGGTGAGGTACTTAATTATAGAGTTCTCTAGCAGAGAAATGCAAGTGCCTCATAGAAGTAGTAGTCGAACGACTAGATGGGCGGGTTATAAATAAATAAATAAATAAATAAACTATACATCGTAGGATTCCATAGAATGGAAGCCATGACAATTGAAGTAATATCAAATTTGCAGTGATATTGTAGTATAGATACACTCAGATATTTCATTGCTTTCTGGAAAATCATATTTTGGAAGAATTCCTCCTTTGAAATACCATTATCTTAAATTCTCCCCCCCTCTCCTTTTCATCTAAGACCTTCGGGAAGCTTGATTGCATCCACGCAAGATAAAGCCAACAAACATGATGTCGTGTTCTTTGAAAAAAACGGACTTCTTCATGGTGAATTTACACTTCCCTTTCAGAAAGGCCAAACCAAGGTAGGGTAACTATTTTCCATGAAGGGTGTCTTAACTGAATCCTCTGGGCAGGTTCTTTTCCCATGCATTTTTCTGATGATGCTAGCCCTCAGTTGGAAGAAATTAGAATGCCTCAGAATACAGTATTTTAAATACAGTATTGAGGTATACATGACAGAATAATAAGCAGTTAGTTTTAAAAACGCTTTGGCTGATCTGACATCCATCCCACTGTGCATTTTCCTAGGTAAATGAACTGCTCTGGAATTCAGACTCTATGGTACTGGCTGTGTGGTTAGAAGAACTGGAAAGTGAGAATAACTCTCAACCAAAGATGTATGGTAAGACTATAGAAACTTTAGTGTTTCAGAAATTCCTAGTGATTCCTACAGTCCATCAGCTGTGCCATCCAACTTATGTGTGACTATCTTCAGGTGATCTTAGGGCCCAGCTCTGTGCAAGATACATTTGTGTGAGTAGCAGGTGTATAACAATACAGTCGTGTCCCGCTTAACGATTACCCCGCATTACGATGAATCCACTTCATGACGATGTTTTTACAATTGCAATTGCGATCGCAAAACGATGTTTTAAATGGGTTTTTTTCGCTTTGCGACAATCAAAACAGCTAATCAGCGGGTTTTCAGAATGGCCGCCGGATGCTCAAAATGGCTCCCCGCTGTGCTTAGGGATGGATTCCTCGCTATATAAGCACCGAAAATGGCCGTCGTGTGGAGGCTCTTCTCTGGACAGTGAATTTTTAGCCCATTGGAATGCATTAACCGGGTTTTAATGCGTTTCAGTGGGTTTTTTATTTTCGCTTTATGACGTTTTCACTCTACAGCGATTTCGCTGGAATGAATTAACGTCGTTAAGCGAGGCACCACTGTATATGATGATACTGAGGAGATACATTTTTGACTCCAGCATCTGCTGAAAACCATAGAGCAAGAATGGAGTCTTTTGCCCTCTAGATATTGTAGATTAGAAGCCCCTGCAAAAATGGCTGTTTTTGAGGCGTTATGAGAATTCTAGTCCAAAAGTGAGGTTTCTCCATCTTTCCCAAATACTGCCTTGCCTTCAGCTTTTGACAGGCACACCAAATTGTATTGTTTTTTATTGGGGCTTTTAAGAAATTCCTTTCAGGCTGCTTTTAAATAAAGCTTTGTTTAGAGGAAGGGGGAGCATGGTGGCCAGAAGAGGATCTGTAAATAATGAACGTATAAACGAATGCGAGAAGTCAACACCTGAAGCTCCCTGGGTGGGATCTGATGTTGCTCCTCCTGGGTTACTGCCTTGCCTCTTGCTTGTCAACCAATAGGCAAAAGAGACATAGAGAAAGAAGCGAAAGAACCAGTGGTTGAATCAGTGAGGTGGAAGGCAGAGGCAGTAGAGGATGGCTTTGGAAGGCACAGGCAGTTCTGCGGCTAACCTCTTTAGGGAACGACTTGTTTTCACGACTAAGCCAGGTACCAAATGACTGAACTGGGGAAACTGAAATCCTCCAAAGCTCTAAGAAACCCAGAATTGGGGGCTGTGCTGTCTGTGGTTGTGGGTCCAAAGCATAGCTGGCTGTCCTTCGCCCTGCATTCTGTCACTGTGCTGTTTTCTGTGTACAGTTCAGTTGTGGACAACAGGAAATTATCACTGGTACCTGAAGCAAAGCCTGCGTTTTGGGAATGCCGAGGGCAGCCAGCAGCTTGTGTCCTTGGCGTGGGACCAGGAGATTCCCTATCGACTTCATATCCTCTGTCAACAGTGGCTTTATCTTTGCTATGACTGGCAGTGGAGTACTGACTGCAGCACTGGAGAAGGGGAAGGTGACTTGGCCAGCGTGGCAGTCATTGATGGAGGTACGTTTTCAGTGATCAGGAATTTTTGGAGGCAGAAAGTGCACGTGGAAGAAGCTCCTACACATTAGGATTAGACCACACGTTAGTAAAATTTGATCTATGTTCGTTCATGTACTCCTTTGCCCACCTGCACCCTTTAACCTAAGCTGGTATTATTTTTGCTGCAATACTAACTGGGAGCTGAGCTTGAGAATATAGGATGGAATCCTGTTGAGGCCAGCCGCTCATGCAATACATGCAGCACAAGGGACTTCTAAAGCCTTTGTGCAAGAAGGTATCTGGTGACCCCTTTATACAAGAGTAAGTCGCATTTCTGTGAAGTGGAACTCTACTCATGTACCAGCACTGTGTGTGCAAGCAAAAGATCCCACCTGATTGCACCAGTGAAGCATAGTACTCTGCCGGCACTCAACAGGATCTTAGGCATCATGATTTACCCAGGGCCATGTGGTTTACATGAGGTTGTAGATTAGGTGAAATCTGAACATGGATCATTCCTGCTGTCTTTATTGTTGACTGGCAGCTGGACAGGAGAGCAGACACTGCATAGAAAAGCACTGGCTTTTCATATGAAAGTTCTTGGTACAAGGGGTGTATGTGAAACCATGATTGATGGTGTTATGTACAGTAGTACCTCGGTTTACGTCCGCCTCAGTTTACATAATGTCCGGTTTATGAATGTAAATCCATTCAAAATAATGCCTCATTTTACGGGGTTTTTTTTGGGGGGGGTCGGTTTGCAAAGGAAGTTTCCCCACGCCTGGAGGTTTGTAGCGCCGCCACCATTGCTATGGCAATCCATATTTTGGTTTACAAAATTTCCACATTACGTAACGTTCCAGAGAATGTATTAATTTTGTAAACTGAGGTACTGCTGTACTGTTGAATCATTTCTGACTTATGGGAATGGTGGTCCAAAATCCATTTTTACCAGGATCTCTGGGGGAGAGGCACTAAAAAGTTTGCTTGGGATTTCCAAGTAGTGTTTCCTGAAATCCATGCTGCTTATTTCTTTCTGCTAAGAGTTATTGTCTGTTGTTGTTGTTTTAGAGAAGTCTGGCAACTGTCCAGTTCAGGCCCATATTTTGGTTTACAAAATTTCCACATTACGTAACGTTCCAGAGAACGTATTAATTTTGTAAACTGAGGTACTACTGTACTGTTGAATCATTTCTGACTTATGAGAATGGTGGTACAAAATCCATTTTTACCAGGATCTCTGGGGGAGAGGCACTAAAAAGTTTGCTTGGGATTTCCAAGTAGTGTTTCCTGAAATCCATGCTGCTTATTTCTTTCTGCTAAGAGTTATTGTCTGTTGTTGTTGTTTTAGAGAAGTCTGGCAACTGTCCAGTTCAGGCAGGCAGTTTGAATTGTACCACCTGTCTACCATTTTCTGCCTCTCACAGTTTCTGCACTGACTGATTTTTTTTCTCTCCGCCGGGAAGACAAGGTGTTGCTGACTGCCTTTCGCCATGCGGTGGTCCCCCCTCCTCTTTGCTCATATCAGCTCCAGCTCCCCAGCTCTGTCAGTGAAGTCGCCTTCCCTGCAGACCCTTCCAGAAGTGGAGACCTTGCGGTCTTGGATGCCGACAACAGAATTTCCATTTATAGAGCTGGTAGGTCATCTGACAGTGTCATCACTTCTGTGCTTTATAAACAGCAGCTAGGATAGTGGTTTCCCATTGGTGTTTAAGTTATAGCCATGGGTGTGGCTCCATTTTTGAAAACTCATCATTTCTATGCCTCTCCTTGGGAAACTGCTGAAGTCAGCCCAATTTCTTAGGATTTTGTCCTGTGTTATCCCCACTCCCATGAAACCGAGTAGTAGTAAATCTTGGGTTCTAAGAAAGAAGATTTTGGTGGCTGCATTAATCCTACCTGGTGATTCTTTTTGAAAATAGTGGCATTGGTTTTCCAGTTTCCCATGTCCCAGAAACACTTTCCCACGTTAACATAACCGATCGCTAAAACTTCAATTGTGCATCTTCTGGGTTTAGTTAGTCTAAGATACTGGGTCAGTTTGATTACAGGAAGGAGGTGACTCTGGGTTCACTGAGTCTTACCATGACCTTGTGCAAACTCTTTAGTGGCAGCTGCCTGTTGCAGACAATGAGCAGTATTGATACGTTGCTTATACAGTAGTGCCTCGCGTGACAACGTTAATTCGTTCCAGCGAAATCTCTGTAGAGCAAAAACATTGTCAAACGAAATAAATAGTGGCATTGGTTTTCCAGTTTCCCATGTCCCAGAAACACTTTCCCACGTTAACATAACTGTTGTAAGACCTCTGTATTGTGCATCTTCTGGGTTTAGTTAGTCTAAGATACTGGGTCAGTTTGCACACAGGAAGGAGGTGACTCTGGTTCACTGAGTCTTACCATGACCTTGTGCAAACTCTTTAGTGGCAGCTGCCTGTTGCAGACAATGAGCAGTATTGATACGTTGCTTATAATTACAAAGCTTCCCGACGATCAGCTGTTTGCTGATCGCCGTAAAGCGAAAATCGGTTCCCAAAGCAGGGAACCAATATTGCACAGCGGAAAAAACCCATTTAAACCATCGTTTTGCGATCGCTAAAACTTCAACGTTAAGCAGATTCGTCATTATACAGGGTAATCGTCCAGCAGGGCACAACTGTAATTACAAAGCTTCTCATGAGGAATCCCCAGTAAGGTTTCAGGAGTCTTCAGGTTTCCCCAGCTTGAAACACTGAAGTTGAGCTTAGGAAAGTCAGCACCCCAAAGGGCAGACAGTCTTGATCTAAAATGAATCTCACTGGTGGTAGGTCTCTTTTTAAATAAGAATTTAGAGAGCTGGAAGAAGAAATTGAGAGGAAGGGAGATGTAATGTAAAACATTATAAGAGTGCCGTATGTAAAGTAGAATCCATTGGAGGTATCATGTTAATAAGTCCCAAGCACAGAAACCAATACTCCTACCTCTTCTATTTCCTGAGTCTTCGTGTTAATAAGTCCCTTCCAAGCACAGAAACCAAAACTCCTACCTCTTCTATTTCCTGAGTCTTCATTGGAAGTGTGCAGTTATTTTAAAATGCTCTTTTCTGTTAGCTGTTTCTGTTTGATAAATGAAGCAACTGTGTGAGTGATCAGAATGGGAGAATTAATTGTAAGACAATTCTGACAAGAACAACTTGGGGGTTTCATTCACAATGAGCAGAATTCGGATTCCTTGTCAAGATTCAGACTTACAGCAGGTCTTAAACTGTTGGTGACCAGGGATGTGCATTCATGCTATTCCCCAGCATTGAGCAAAGAAGGGAAATTAATTGTAAAAGCACCTAAGGAAAGTGTCTTGTACCAAGAGGCCAGAGCAATGAAGCTCCATGATGGCGTGGGATTGTAGGTGCTGCATTCTAAAAATAACTAGAGGGCCAGAGTTCACTGTCCTTGTAGTGTGTTTCTAGGTCAGGCATGTTCATTGGACTCAACAACTGGGAGATCTGCTCTAGAGGGCTGTAGGATGACCTGGCCTTTTCCTTGTTTGGGTGAACTAAATCTGATTATCCCAAACCTGGTCGAACTGTTGCTGACCTCCACAGTCACTTTTGTACGTAGTTTTCATAGTTCAGCAGTCACAATGTATTATACAGTAGGACCCTCTTATCCACAGGATCTGTATCCACTGATTTACTTAACCACAGTCTGAAACTATTAAAAATATTAAAAGAAAAAAATCCAGGGAAAAAACCCTGTTTTCATGTGACCAGAACCAGCCCTTAGAGAGAGCCAGAGAGAGCATGCTATGTATATTTGTTAGAGCAGAGGTCCCCAACCCCTGGCCCACAGCCTGGTGCTGGACCAGGCTGCGGAGACAGACCTCCCTCCATCCCCGCACACACTCCCCCCGCACAGCCCATTTGTGTCTACACACGAGCACTGAGCCGCCCTTTGCGCATGTGCATGAGTGTGCACGTGCCCATGCGAGTGCCCCGCCCGTTTGCGCCTGTGCGCGCACTCCTTCATGCATACACGTGCAGGGGAGGTGCCCCGCCTTCCCCAGCCAGTCCGCGCGCTAAAAGGTTTGAGGACCACTGTGTTAGAGAACAATACATAGCATTTGTGTCTACACACGAGCACTGAGCCGCCCTTTGCGCATGTGCATGAGTGTGCACGTGCCCATGCGAGTGCCCCGCCCGTTTGCGCCTGTGCGCGCACTCCTTCATGCATACACGTGCAGGGGAGGTGCCCCGCCTTCCCCAGCCAGTCCGCGCGCTAAAAGGTTTGAGGACCACTGTGTTAGAGAACAATACATAGCATGGTCCCTGAAGCACTGAGCTGCCCTTTGCGCATGTGCACGAGTGTGCACGTGCCCATGCGAGTGCCCTGCCCATTTGCGCATGCGCGTGCACTCCTTCATGCATACACGCGTGGGGGGGTGCCCCGTCTTCCCCAGCCAGTCCGCGCGCTAAAAAGGTTGACGACCACTGTGTTAGAGAACAATACATAGCATGGTCCCTGGTGTCCAGTTCTTGTAACACATGTGAAATATTTTCTGTTTTTCCCCTTTTCCCCTGCTATATATAGGGTTTGCTATTATCCACAGTTTTCGGTATCCATGGGAGGCTTGGAACCAATTGCCAGCAGATATGGGTGCCCCACTGTACCCTTCTTTGATCATGGGGGCTCCTCTAGTACTTTACTCCTCTAGTTTCCTTTACTCTCTTCATCAGTCTGTATTTCGGGGATGTATGTGTGTTGGGGTTTTGTTAATTTTTTTGCTCGTTTTGGTTTCTTTTGGCTACTTCATAATAGCCAGAGCTGCAGCCAGATTTCACAGGAGCAAGTGTGAAAGGATACATAAACCAAACCATAGCAGTGAGGGGACAGAATCTGATTGTTACTGCTTGTGTCCTTTTGGTACAATAATTTCTTCTGAGGCTTGGAACCAATCGCCAGCAGATATGGGTGCCCCACCGTACCCTTCTTTGATCATGGGGGCTCCTCTAGTACTTTACTTCTCTAGTTTCCTTTATTCTCTTCATCAGTCTGTATTTCGGGGATGTATGTGTGTTGGGGTTTTGTTAATTTTTTTGCTCGTTTTGGTTTCTTTTGGCTACTTCATAATAGCCAGAGCTGCAGCCAGATTTCACAGGAGCAAGTAAACCAAACCATAGCAGTGAGGGGACAGAACCTGGTTGTTACTGTTTGAGTCCTTTTGGTACAATGATTTCTTCTGCTTACTGCCCTTTGAACAGGTGGCGGTAGAGATACAGACCCCACAGTTAAAATTGGTGCAGTTGGTGGAAGTAGACTTAACTCTTCGGTTGCCGTCCCTTGGCTGGAAAAGTCATACAGGTACAGGATGTTACACTTGGTGCGGAATATGTTTCTTTTCAGAATTGAATCCAAGATGAGTATTGTTTTTCAAAGAAGCTAGAGTCTGAGCTAAGGGTTCTGGGCCATCTCCCATTTGCAGGGTAGTTCCTCACTACTTTTTGTATTATCATTAGCCAACACTCAAGGAAGACAGAGAAGGTATGCAGCAGTGGCTGAAACAGCTCTGGAAAATATGTCAAATGGATAAATAAGACATATAAAACAAATAAATATTGACTTACCTGATATACACGGAGAAGGTAGCCCACATGAAAGCATGAAATGCCAGCAGTTATTGAAGTCAGAATGTTTGAAATAAAATGACTCATATCTTGAAAATATCATTATTTCATGGATATATATGTACACTGGAGAAATAAATATTTACCACTAGAAAGCATTTGTCATTTTAATACCCATTGACCCAGTTTAGGGAATTACTCATGGAATATTTACACTCCCATTTTGTTTTTGCCACCCTGAATAATTTTTATTTATTTAGACCTTTATAATCTATCTTCCTGATTCAAATCCATTCATGGCATCAAACAAAATACAACTATGAACGGCATTGTATTGTAATAAATCTTTTAAAATACAGGTATGAACAAAAAAAAGCACAAAAACAGATACTTTAACATCTGATTCAGCTACTGTAAGAGTACCCTTGTGTCACATCAGTCAAAACAGCAATAGAATAATATATTAAATACAATTCAGAACAAACCAGGCTAGCTTCCAGTTCAACCCAAATGCCAGATCAATTATGAACAAGTTTGACAATATATCTTTCCTTCCATGTGTAGAGTAATGCTTATAGATTCTATTTCTATTTTTGTTACATTACTGCAATTTAATTCTGGTATTTTTTTAATGAGGCATTATTTTTGTTCAGGTATTTTAATTTATTTCTCCTGCTCAAAGTCCTCTTCCTCCTCTTTCATACGTTTTATACCGTATTCCTAATCATGGGTCCAGTATCCATTTGTGGAAATAAAGGCAAGGATCTGGCAGGGTTGGAAATTTGCATCTTTCCATGGGATGAGTCATAATTCACATCAGTAGTGCAATAATCACTATCCTGACAACACTTGCTCTGAGACAACCTAGATATGAGACAAAATGTCTGAGTGTGCGAATCTTTTTTATAAACACACACACACACACACATTCTGCTAGTAAATTATGCTGCCATCCATATATCTTAAAACTGGTGCGTTCAAAATGGCCCAGAAACTCTCAGCTTGATTTGCCATTTAAATATACTCCACTGGCTGTTTTAAGTAAATATATATAGGTTAGCATAGTATCACAAATATATACACACACCCCATGCTGTTTTGGGTCACTCTCTGTGTATTTAAAAAGAAAGTGGATTAACCAGCTTTGTGTTCCTAAAACAGTCTTTCTGACCCAACACAGCCTGAGGAAGGGATAGGGGAACCACATTTGAAAAGCTAATTATGCCCTGTAGGCCTTTATGAAGTATCATTTGTTACAGTAGGAAATTCAGGAGCAAAGATGTTTGGTCTGATAAGGTCTAGGAGAGGGCAAAAATAATAAGGTTTTAATATATATACAAATAGGATTGCTGTAAAGATTTAGGGTAGCATAGTATCACAAAATTAAATGTTTTTATCTCAAATGATCTGCCTTATTTGCATCTCGTCCAGTTACAAAGGAATATACAGCCATCCTTGTTTCATTAATCCTTATTTAAATCAAGGCCCTAATGCCTCTAATCTTCTCTACCCCCATTAGCACTCACAGAACAGAGTTGGTTTCTGAACGGATTTCTGATTTGACGTAATGTTTGCAGTGTAGATGGCTTTCCATGGGAGGAGCAAATTGCCTTCCAGATGTTGTTGGATCTGTTGACTAGGCTTGTGGATGTTTCAGGCCAAGAACATCTGAAGGAGCACAATTGCCCGTTCTTGTTATAAGGAAAAGTTTTCCCATGGACCAGGACCACCACATGGAAGATTCTCAGCTGACTGGCTTGCTGGAGTGCCTGTGCATTTCCTAAGCAGATCTTTTCTGTGATCCTCTGTTGCCAACAATTGTTTGCAGTTTTTTGGGGGTTTTTATGTGCTTTCTCTAAAGCTCATGATTATTCTCCTTAGCTCTCTGTCTCATCTCCTGTCTGACTCTTCTTTCTTTAGCCTTTGATCTTCCTCCCTCGGGCTCTTCTGTCGTTCATCTCAGAACAAGGGCTGCATCTTGTTGTCACAAGATTTAGGTCACTGAGATGAGGGCATATCTGAGGACCCCTTTCTTCTGGTTTCTATCCCAGGACCAAAGAAAATCCTTTGTGATTCTATCATTTCAGGAACGGGGGAGGTGGAAGTACATCTGCGTACATCTCCTAGGGACCTCTGCTGAGCGGATTGTTTCTTTGCCTCTGTCAATGGCAGGAAAACAGCAAGCTCAGTCATAGGATGGCTGGAGACCGGAAGAGGCTGAAATAATATACCACAGTGCCAGAATAGCAGTTTTCTCCACTGGTCAGTCCACTAGCTGTGAGAAAAAGGGGCCATGTAGCCTTGGAGAAATGAGTTTGCACCCCTGTTTTAAAGTGACCTTCAGAGCACTAGGCAACTTAGTTCTTTCTAGTGCCCTGACCAGTATGAATGATGCTGACTTCCAGCAGGGCTTGATGTCACAGGTCCTCTCCATCTTAGCAACTGTAACTAAGGCCATTGTTTGCTGTCAGCTGCAGTACATTTGAAAGAGTTTAAGGCCTAATCAGACCGACGTTTGGCTCATGCTTCATATCAAGTTGAGATATTTAACCATATCATAGAACATTTGTAGTTACTGTTCTATACACCTGTCTTTTCAGATAAATAAACCAGTCACTTCACTGCTTTCACAACCATAGTTAGCAATCCTTAACATGTGGAGGGAGAAACGAGGGGAGTTTCGGTGTAGCTGAGAACATGTTGGCCACTTCCTTGAACTATAAAGAAGTCATGGGGAATGGCTTCAAAACTTACTTGTCCACAAGATAGCAAACAGCATCGCTGATGGGTATTTTGATGTCTATTTGCCAGTGGTCATGCTTTATTTCTGAAGTCTCTTTGTATGCTTAGAAGCTCAGTTTTCATGGGAGCCCTGATCACATGGAGATAATCCATGAGTGAAAACTCCTTCAGACTTTCTCTCCTCACATGGATGCCAAGGAATGGAGACAAATGGCAGCAGTGTCTGAGGTGGAACCAGGAGTATTGGCCCTCTTAGCTTTTAACTACGTATATGGAGTTACTTCATATCGAGTAGTACATAGAAAAACATAGAGCAGTTATGTGGTGGTGGGTGAGGAGTTTCAACATGGTCAGTGACTGAAGAGCAAGAGAGTCCATCCCAACCTTGTTTATTCCACTTAACGTTCTGTCCAAGCAAAGATTGGAGATGACAGCCATTCTCAACAAAGCTATCTCTTTGCCCAAGCTCTGTAAATGTCATTCTGCTTACATGGTGGTTTGTTGCACAAGCAAAGTGACCAAACAAGATTCATCTCCAGGATATTAACCCAGTTAAAATAATTTGAGCGGATTTGCACATACAGAACCTTACTTGATTTTGTAATAAAGACTCGAAATAATTGGCACTGAAATAGGTGGTCTAACTCAGCTCCTGTTGAGGTGAGGCAGAAGGGCAGACTATTCCAATCAGATAATTGCTTTATAATGTGTGGTGAACATGCATTTCCCATAAGGAATCACAGTTAAATTAACCTGAAGTAATACTTTCTTTAACCTTTTGTAAAATCCCTATGGCTTCTTCATTTGTCTTTTAAATTTCCAGAATTAGTTACTTTATCTGAATGTGTGGTTCCTGCAAAGAATTTAGGATGAGCTAAAATCAGTAGGAAGTTAGCTAAGAAGAATAAAAAGCAATGTGAAGACATTAAAATAAGTTAGAACCGACTGAATACAGTTTAACAGCTTAACAATGCAAAAAAATCCGAAACCAGCACATGGAGAGATTGGAGACCAAGCAATGATCCCGTGACATGACTAACACTTGGTCAACAGCCAAGTTTTAACTGGAAACTGAGTTGCAAAGGGAAGAACATTCTATGGTGGCACTACAGAACAGTATTGTCTGTCATCTCTGTATAATTTGCCTGAGCCTACTTCAGAAAGGTGTTGAACATGCGGAAGTGATGGGCTGTATGAATAATCTCTAACCATCTTTTTTGGAATTGTCACAGAATATATCTTGGCCATGAGAAAGAAGCAAGAAATCCGCAGAGGCTTTGCCTTCTCACCTGGTTACAAGATGACTTCTTCCTAGCTGCTAGCCAGGGGCACCTTCCTGCTTATACTGCCATTCACCATCTGAATCTGTCTTCATCAGCAGAAGAAGGACACATTGATATCTGGTACTGGGCAACTTTTTATGTTTATTGTGGTCCATTACTTCACGTGGTCCTGGAAAGCTCGAGCAACCTTCCTGATTCGAACAGAGTGCTTGAGTTTTTTGCACAGGTCTCAGCCAATGCTAATGCTCACGATTGTGGAGATCCAGTTCTGCTGGGTGAGCTTGTTCTCACATTAACCAGGCAATGATCAACACTGCAGCAGAGCAACTGCTTAAGAGGCGTGGTTAATGGGTCTCAGAGAATGCATACAGGAAGAGTCCTTGTGAGATTGTTCAACTTCTACCTTTATTGGTAATCTTGGTTTACATTTCTTGCTGAGTTCAAAGGGTGTCATCCTGCTGGAAAAAGGGCCTTAAAGGTCAGTGCAGTGTGTATGAGAAACTAGACAGACAAGACTGTGACCCTGAGTTATAAACCAATGGCTGACTCTAATTTCTGCCTGAACAAATTATACACAAACCTACAGAAGCTGATGCAGTTAAGTAAAAGCTATTGCTTACAGTTTTTAAAAGGTTTTAATAACATATACTAAATTTAATAGTATTCTGTTTGTAATTATATTAATGTATATACATTTATGTATATATAAATAAAGTGAAAGATAAAGGTAGGACAATGTATAATGTGAACAACCAAAAAAAGGGCTACCAATATTGATCACCAATTATCACACAACAGATTAATTTCTAGAAAGCATTAAAGGAGAGATTCTATGAATAAATCATACAAAAGAGCAATTTATAGTTTTTTATTGTTGAACAGATCTGTTGTGTTTATTTTTCATATTATATGTATAAAGATGATTATTTGATTTTATTGTCTACATCCATTCATTTCCCCACTTGTGGCCCACCTTTCTTCCCAGGGTCTTAAGAAAGGTTTCCCTTTTTATGTTAAGCTGAAAAAGCAGTAATTAGCTAAAGGTCAACCTGCGAAGTTCACAGCTGAGCTGGGGATCTGAACCCAGGTCTTTCTCGTCCAAACCCAACTCTCTATCTGCTAAGTCATTCTCACTTCAGACGTATGTATCCAGAGGTTACAGAGCTTAAGTTATCTTTTCAGACCATAACTCCTAGAATCACCAAGCCCTTTGCCCATGTTGGCTGGTAGATTCCAGAAAGTATCATTTCTAAGCTATGAAAGTTGCTCTACGTCTAGTGCATTTTAACTGTGTACGTAATTAATTGTGGCTCATAATAATACAAAAAAGCGGTGGGGCTTGGAGTGGACCTTCTGTGCCTTGATTTCTCACTACAGGTTATGTGGACGACACACAATGTGGATTATTGCTTTGCAGTGTTTTATGGAGCAGGCCCGATTTTGCAGATATACTGTATGTACACATTTTTCTGACAGTGTTTGCTGAGAAAGTATCTGATCCTGATGAACTTTCTGTTTCTTGTAGCTCCCCTGTGACTGTGGATGGAGATGTAATCAGCCTGTGTTGCAACCCAAAGACCAAAGTAGTGGCTCTTCAACTTTCTGATGGTCAAATCATGAAATATCTCTGGGGTAGGTATGATCAATGATTTTCCCATCACTTGACTCAGCTTCTACTTGAGGAGGACCTTCAGCTCTGGTGAAACAAGGATTTTCTTTTCTTTTTCTTTTTTTGAAAAGCCACTTAAAAACACATCCAGAGGCATGGCTGTGAAAGATGTATGCCCTGCAGCCTTAGAGGGCTGCTGCCAGCTGGATGAATCAGTCATGGGCCAGATGGGTTGAAGCACTAAATGTCAGAACAACTTTTAGTGTAAGAATACCCTTGTAATCTGGAATGCTATGAAAACCCATCCGCTGATACTGTACAGTGGTGCCCCGCATAACGAGTGATTCGTTTAACGATGAATCCGCATAGCGATGTTTTTTTGTGATCGCAAAAGCTATCGCATAACAATGTTTTAAATTATCGCATGACAATGTTTTAAATAGGAAAACATCGCTTTGCGATGATCGGTAAGCGTTTCGCTTACCGATTGTCACATAACGATGTTTTTTTAAACAGCTGATCGGCAGTTCCAAAATGGCCGCCGGATAAAGAAAATGGCCGCCCGCAGTGTTTTTGCGCCCTTTCCTCGCTTACCAGGCAGCGAAAATGGCGGCTGCAGGGAGGATTTTCGCAGAATTGTGAGTTTTTTGCCCATAGGAACGCATTAAACATGTTTTAATGCTTTCCTATGGGCTTTTTTGCCCTGCATAGCGACGAATCCGTATAGCAACGATTTTTTTTGGAACGGATTACTGTCGCTATGCGGGGCACCACTGTATTTACAAATACCATTAACTTTGTCTAATACATTTCATGCTTTCATTTGTTGCAATGTGGGTTGTGTTCCATATAACAATGGGCAGATCTGCACTATACATTATATTAGTAGATAACATGGATTCCCAACCTTGGGTCCCCCAATGTTCTTCGACTAAAACTGGCCAGGATTTCTTCTGGGAGTTGTAGTGCAAGAATGTCTGGGGACTCAAGGTTCAGAACCACTGTACGAGGTCTTAGGAGAATCTGAAGTAAGGTCAGATAGATTTGGGGATTGTTCAGCCCCATTTCTATGCGTCTGATGCTGCGTCTGCTCTTCTGCCACCTCTCTCACCAGTCTCCTCCTTGGTCCAGTTATATATACATTATAATTCTAACATAGTACTTATATTTCCTTCAACAAGCACCTACGTTGTGGATGCATTTGTAAGGGCCTTTTGGAGTGTCTTTTGATCTACTGCTGTTAACCTCATCCTGTATCTGGTAGTATGGCTTTATCACATAGAATTGATGAGTCTTTTCCATTACATTTCAGGAGCTGAAACACCAGTTGTCACCCCGTGGCTGAACAGCAGTGGTTCAGCTGTACGATTTCCCTCTCCATGTATGCAGACTGCGCTGGCTTTAATCGGCAGCGAAGTAAGTAGGAAACTAATATGGAAGCTTGATGAAATGAGTGAGAGATTGTAGTGTCCCTGCTCCCCACTTCTGCCTCTAAAGACTGCTTTGCATCCTTTCTTGCATGTTTCTCTCTTTTGGTGTATGGGAAATTGTTACCTTTGTCTGAAGGGGGTTTTTTAAACACTTCGCTAGTGTTTCAAAACATGACTTCACACGAGAGTTGAGTAAACTTTACAGGCAGGGTATGTTGCCTGATCCAGTGTGTTGGCAAAAATCTTCTTCACTCACGCTGTGTGCACAACCGTCCCATCATGTTCTTGCTTTGTTTTGGACCTTATTCAGGGACGTATCCACTAGCTCCTTGTGCAAGTGTAAACTCCCTGCAGGCTTGCTTAATTACAAGCTGCAAAGCTTGCTGAGTGCTACACCAGGAGAGCATAAGGCCCACAAAGGCAAACCGGTTATTGATCAAGCTGTGAATTTTTTTTCTCATAACTCCATAATAATAATAGTAATCGTATACTATCAAGTCAATTCTGATTTATGGCAACCCTTTTCAGGGTTTTCCATATAGAGAGTACAGTGGTGCCTTGCTTGACGACGTTAATTCGTTCCAGCTAAATCGCTGTAGAGCGAAAACGTTGTCAAGCGAAATAAAAAAGCCCACTGAAATGCATTGAAAACCGTTCAATGTGTTCCAATGGGCTGAATACCTGCTTGTCCAATGAAGATCCTCCATAGGGCAGCCATTTTCGGGTGCCTGTCTTGCGAAAAAGCCTCCTAAAACAGCGGGGGGGGGGCATTTTGAGCAGCCGGCGGGCATTTTGAGCATCCAGTGGCCATTTTGAAAACCCGACGATCAGCTGTTTTGATCATTGTAATGAGAAGAATCGGTTCCCGAAGCAGGGAACAGATCATCGCAAAGCGAAAAATCCCCATTAAAACATCGTTTTGCGATCGCAGTTGCGATCACAAAAACATTGTCGTGAAGCGGATTTATCGTTATACGGGGTAATTGTTAAGCGGGGCACGATTGTATTCAAAAATGGTTTACCATTCCCCCCTTCTGAGGGTGCCCTGAAACTGTGCAGCTTGCCCAAGGCCACACAGGCTGGTTCGTCTCCCTGGAGGCACAGTGGGGGATCAAACTCCAACCTCTGGCTCTGCAGCCAGGTTCCTAAACCACTGAGCTATCCAGCCAGCCATAAACAAACATGGAAATCCACATGACAGGTTTGAACAAGAAAGGTGGATACATTCCACTGTCTGGGAAAGGGTGCTCCATCCTGTTTTGTGGCACAGGAGCAAATTAAATGTGATGTTAATTCTGTTGCCTGTTGTCAAGAGGATGATGGTCAAGGCTTTCCATTCTGCTGCTCCAAGCAAGTGCAGAGAGAACACAGGATGTGGCACTGGGAACAATATTCAGATTATGTAAAATGTAGCGACTGGTTGTTATTTTTAAGTGTTCTTCAAGGACAATTATAACAGCATGCTTGAAGCTCTTTAGGTAACATATGATGACGCCAATGGCGTTCCTGAGTAAGGTTTCTAATGGTTAGAGTTCAGGGTTTCAGATCCCTGTAGAGTTCCTTCACTGTGTCTGGTCATAACAAAATAAATTCTGCATATTTGAAAACTGTTACAGAAATCTATTTTTATTTGCATAATTTAGAAAAGTTATACGTTTTAATGGACCAAATCCTCCTGTATAACTTCACTGAGTAATGCAAACAGTGTAACGTTGGAATGCAGATTCCTTCAAGTGAAAAAACTACAGACCTTTATTATGTACTGTACCAAGTTGTGTGACTGAGGGCGGAATGGAGAATGAGTACAATGGTTTCTTTACTTGAGGCAATTCACCACCAATTGTGACACTATGTTAAGCCAGCTCAACTATGCAAGAGGATTTTGGCCAGTGTTTTTGAATCACTAGCAGAACTGGTATTGCCTTGGTAAACGATTCTGCTTCACAGTGCAGAGTTCATAGATCACATCCCGCTGTCTGGCTAACTTTTTAATCCAGTGCTGTATTCTGGTTTTGTCTTTCTAGGAAATTATCTTTGGCCTGACAGACAGATGTCGTTTTTTCATTAATGATACTGAGGTACTGACTGTTCTTACAGTTCTCTCTCTTACGTTTTTTTTCCCCTAGTAGCAAACAGTCACGAAATGACCTTGTGTAAGGGGCATATTTTTTCCTGCTTTCCACAGGTTGCTTCAAATGTCACATCCTTTGCAGTCCAGGATGACTTCCTGTTGTTGACCACACACTCGCATACTTGCCAGTGCCTGTCCCTGAGGAATACGTCCCTGAAAGGTAAACATCCCCAGCGTACCTAGCAATCAAGAGCACCCAGATGCTTCTTTCACAGACCCTTCTTCACAGATAGATGGCTGCTTGTTTGTAAATAGGTCTGGGCGTCTGCAGCGGCTTTGCTTTGGGTTTTTGTAAATGGATACTAGTTCCCTTCTTTCTACGATGGTTCACTTTTCCATTCCACAGAAAGGATGGTCATGCCTGGTCCTGGTTTTCAGAAGTCCATTATGAGAAGGGGCATTTAAAATGTCCTTAAAACATACTGTTTCAATGTATGTTGCAAGCTCTGCACAGACATTGAAATGTTCAGCATTTGTCGTGTGTATGGACATTTTATGTAATAATCTTTGTGTTGTTTTTATTTGCTCTAATGTCGTATTGGAAGCCGCCTAGAGTGGTCTTAGGACCAGATGGGCGGGATACAAATTAAATAAATAAATAAAAATAGTGGCAGTAGCGTAACATCTGCTCCAAGTCCCAACTACCTTTTGCCATGCTTTGCCTACAAGCCTTTGCAGTATACAGGCACATCTCAACAAATGAGTGACTTTTAAGAGGTGTAGCTCATGCATCATTTGACATCTACAAATGTTGGTCTCTTTCTGTGGTGCATTGTTCTGGAATCCACCTTTGGTTGAGAAGTGATACATAAATACTTTGGTATTGATCAGTAAGTTACAAAAAATGTGGATAGGGCAGAATGCAACATCCTATTAAAGTATACAATGTATCAGTTTGAATATATGTAGATCAAGCAAAGATGATGAGAAAAGAATGTATTTCTGCTTATGATGGAGCATTATTCTCCTGAGAAAAGCATTCAGGTACTGTATCTTATCCATCATTAGATGTGGGACCTATTCAGACATAAGTTACCAAGGAGAAGCTTTGGCCCCACAAAAGTTTTGGGCATACTAGCCTGCTCCTTATGGGGCTGGTGAGGGGGACTAGGATCTGACCCATACTGTGCTGCATTTCTTTGAAAATAGTATCTTCCTGACATTATAACTTAAACCCTCATTTCTGGGGATTAAAGAAATGTTAGGTTCAAGTAAATGTTGAATCAGTATCCATCATTTCCTTCATGTAGAAAAGGTGCGGGGAGATTATCAGCATGAGATTTGTAATGCCTGGATAGGTTTTAATTATTACAAGTTCCATAAGAAGGTTCTGCTATTTACAGGAACCAAGAGAAGTGTTTTAATTTGTTCAAGTTGAGCATTACAGAGGTGACATTTCACATGAAGATACTCCATAAAAAGCTTAATCATTTATCGACTGGAAACTAGTTTGTGTAAGTTACTCCATATAGGACTGATGATGTCATCAGGCAAGACAATTTTCCGGGGATTAAAAATTTCCTCCTTTAGTCCTGAGACACCTATTGCCTCCATGTGATCTCTTTCATTGTCAGGAACCCACAGGGGTCATGAAATGGGAGGGGGAAGTCTTTAATTAATAAAAAAATTGCTGCTGGTGGTAAAATAATCCTGGTGGCAGCGCTTTTTGGCAAATAAAGACTTCCTCCCCTGGGCCATGGCCCCCATAGGTTCCCGACATAGAAAGGGACTATACAGGAGCCATGAGTGCCATGGGACAAACACAGGAAATGTTTAATTTCCAAAAAATCATCCTGGCTGTTGAATTAGCTTATGTGAACAGGATATCAGCCAGTATGCACTGTTGGGAAAACAGCAGGTTTCCAGGTAGTTTCCTGTCCATGCACTTTCTGGGCTAAACCTACCTGAGCATCAGCAATTGAACTGCATCAGTTATCTTCAGCCAAGTTGTTGGAATCTTTAATACTGCCTGGTGTTGGTCCTCAGTTATTTTGTATAAATTTGTTGAAGGTTTGGGAGTACTGGGGCAAGCTGTGTCCAATGTCCTCTGTTTTAAAAAAAAGTCAGATGAGATGTTCATTCTGTGCTGAAGTTCAGTTGGTGGTACTTTTCAGCTTTGCAGGCAAGCTTGAGCAGCACCTCTGTCCCCAATAGCGAGACCCTGCGCAAGATTGAAAGAGGATCCCGGATAGTCACAATTGTGCCTCAAGATACAAAGCTCATATTGCAGGTACTGGTTTCCTATGTTCATTCTTAGATCAGCTTGCTCCAACACTGATGTGTTCTTGCACAGGAAAAAAAAAACACAACACAGGGCTACACAAATAAGAGAGTTATCTTGTGAAGATCTCAGAGTAGTGTACCACTCACGCAACAGTTTATGTGAATCACAGGTTAATGTTTTTCCAATGTAGAAAATTACAATGTTGGGGAAAAGCAGAAGCTTCATGAGCAAGTACTCTATAATAAGGAATCCATTGGCCTCATTCAGACCTGCTGTGCCATCCAACCCTGGTAGTTCAGTCTAGGCCAGTAAGAACTGTCCATGAGATTCTTCCACTCAGGTAGATGGGCCAATGCGATTGGTGCCTACAAAGTATTTCTAAGCTGTATTTCAGTTCTGTTTCGTGGCAGGGTCATAAGCACACCTTGAAATGTGTGTCCTACGCACGCCCTATTGGTGCACTACAGCAGTGGTTCTTAACTTTTCTTAGGTGTTTTTGAACTGCAACTCCCAGAAACCCCAGCCAGCATAGCTGGTGGTGAAGGCTTCTGGGAGTTGCAGTCCAGTACACCAGCGGTTCTTAATCTTTCTTACTCAAGTGTTTTTGAACTGCAACTCCCAGAAACCCCAGCCAGCATAGCTGGTGGTGAAGGCTTCTGGGAGTTGCAGTCCAAAAACACCTGAGTAACCCAAGGTTAAGAAGCAGTGCACTAAAGCATGCTTCCAAATGAAGAACAGAGAAAGGTTAGAGCACAAAACTGCATGTACCTTCTTCCACATTTAACATCTGAAAGTTAATGTCAAAACTGCATGTACCTCCTTCCACATTTAACATCTGAAAGTTAATGTTTTAGCCAAGGCTGGTTGGTGGTCTGGTTTTGTGAGAGGAGCCAATCGGCTCAGAGGTCTAGTTCAAAGGGGCTGTCCATGGTGCTGTACCTATTTTGAGGGTAAGGCGAGAATGAAAAATACCTGTCCTTTTCAGTAAGAAATATACAGCAATGTCCCCTCAACTAGGGACAAATGCCATGTTACAGCTATTAGTTAATGACTCATGGCATTTATAAGTCTGCCTTTCCAGCCAGTCAAATTAATGTGCTGTGAAGCGTTGCAAGAAGTTGAAACAAAACTGAAAGTGAGCAGTGTAATCCTGGGTGGCAGCTGGACAGCTGTCCTCTGGTCCTGGAAGTGGATGTTCTGGGTGCCAAGAGGAAGGGGGTAGGGACTTAATGTTGGGATCTTTTTATAGATGCCAAGAGGAAATCTAGAAGCCATTCATCATCGAGCTCTTGTTTTGGCCCAAGTTCGGAAGTGGCTGGACCGGTGAGCTAAACTGACTCGTTTCACTGCATGCGATATGTGTTTTTGTCATTTCGTGATTGTATTCGAACTGACTAGTCCTCTTGTCCTGTCCTACCAGTCGCCAATTTAAAGAAGCCTTTGAATGCATGAGGAAGCTGCGAATCAACCTTAATCTCATTTACGACCACAACCCAAAGGCAAGTTTGAGTAAAGCTGTTGTTATCTTACTGAGATCACATCTTAGGGCATAGTGGTAAGGACGTAAATGGATCCTTATAAATGGAAATATACAGCTAGCACCAGTCATCCATATCGGGTTAGGATAAGCAGAGGAATCAGTCTTGGGCACCACCTGAATATTAGGGATCATACAAGATGTTGATTATTGCTAGGGTAGTTACTCTACCAAAGAGGTCTAGCTTGAACAATTATATGAGTCTAGTGTGATTGATTCATCAAATTAATTTGTACAGTGGTGCCTCACTTAGCGACGTTAATCCGTTCCAGAAAAAACGTTGCTAAGCGAAAACATCGCTAAGGGAAATTAAAAAGCCATAGAAATGCATTAAAATGCGATTACTGTGTTCCTATGGGCTTAAAACTCACCTTTAAGCGGAAATCCTCCATAGTGCCGCCATTTTTGCTGCCTCTTAAGCGAGGAAAAACAGCGGGCGGCCATTTTGTTTTCCTGGCGGCCATTTTTAAACCGCCAATCAGCTGTTAAAAAAGGGTCGCTTTGCCATGATCACTTCCCCGTGATCATCGCAAAGCGAAAAAACCCCATAGGGACCATCGCAAAGCGATTGCTTTTGCAATCGCAAAAGTTCCATCGCTAAGCGATTTCGTCGCTCAACGGAGCGATCGCTATGCGAGGCACCACTGTATATGGGAAAGAACAGACACTCTACAGTAAGAGGACAACTTTTTTCTTTTTTCTTTTTTTGGTGACATGATAGCTCCATTCCTTATCTCTTTACTGGTTAAAAGATGGGGAGGTATTGCATTTGTACCAGCTCATCCTGAAGTGTAAATAACATCACCTCTTAATACTGCTTTGGACATAGATACAGGTTGCATAAGAGAGTTGCACAAGCCTGTCCATCATAAGCCACGTGTGCAGCTTGTGTGAATGGACTGTGAAAGTCCATATCCGCACAACATCTCCACTTGGTTCCTTTTGCTTCTTAAAAACTGACTTGTGCACTTCATAGATTTATCAGAAGGTTCATAAAAACATTTCATTTCAGGTTTTCCTGGAAAATGTGGAAACATTTATAAAACAAATTGATTCTGTGAATTATATCAACTTGTTTCTCACAGAGCTGAAGTGAGTACTCCTTTGTTTTTTTCATGTGCTTCTGTATAAAAGGAAGATAGCTCAGGATCTAATGGTGAATCTCTGGAAGAGCTTCAGCAGGACTGTAAGGGGTTTCATGTTCCAGTGTTCTTTAACAGTAGCGACGACAAAATGATTTTTTCCCATTTACAGTAGTCTCTGAAGTTAAGGCACCTTGAGACAATCAGGAGTAGACTGTTGTCGGAAAGGACCTTGAGCTCAGTTCAATTGTGGTAGCAAAATCCTTCCTAGGGTCAGAATGTGCTTAGGGGTGGCTGCCTTGTTCTGTCATTGGGAATGTGTAGCAGTTGTACTTGGTTCTGGTTGGCGCATCTTGCATTCCAAGTGAAATAGTAATAATAAATTGATCCAACAAGTCTCAAATGGGTGGGTGCTCCTTTGGTTCAAGCAATTAAGACAGTACACCTTGTATGTTGATTCTGCTTTTGAAAAAAAAACAAAGCAGTTTTGAGGGCAGGAGTGGGAGATAGAGAGGAGAAACAGTGAAGACAGGTGCCTAATCTTTTCTCCATCTGTTACTTACCCAAATCTGTCTTCCCAAAGGATTTTCTCCCTTGCAGTCACATACATTCATGTGTTATATATAGCCGGGCCCTTAGCAAGTTCTTGTTGTGCAGGTTTTTATATTTCTGAGGGCAAACAAGTGAAGTGTAAGGATTACAGCATATGTGGAACATAAGCATGTGGGTAAAAAAAAACAAAATAATACAGGCTTGCTACAGAGGCTGAGGCATTAAAAAGAGAAGAACTGGAACTTTGGGTGAAATGTAATATATTTTCATGTTTTTATGAAGACAAGCTGAAAGGGAGTCATGGCCCTTGAAATATACATAGATCAGTAACATAAATGTTTCTGATGAAAGAGGATTGTGCATATCCTGCAATTCGGGTTCTGCACCAAAGAAAAAAACCTGGAGTTCTGTAGTGTATATAATATATGCAAATTTGATTACTAAGCCTTCTGTCACTTTGTATAACTTCAGATGCAATTTTTATTATTTTATGCAAAATGTTCCTTGTTATGGGAAGAAGCTGTGAGTTATGTGGATACTTAAACCCTTATCCTCACCTAAACCACTGGAATTCTTTAGTAGTTTTTGAGATTTTCGTAAACCTGGACTGCTTGTTTTCAAGTATATTTTTGCATTTACAGTCCTAAGGACTAGAAACGTGTACATTAAATATAAACAAATAAGTGACATTTATTAATAAATACTGTACCTAGTGCCTCATTTTGCACTTTCAGGGATTTTAGCATATAAACAGACTTGGTAGTCATTTTAATCCGTATTGCTACATGATGTATTTATCCTGTGTTCTTATTGATCTTATGGCTACATTGAGACCTAACCTTTCTATTACATGCTCGTTCCTAGAGAAGAAGATTTCACAAAGACCATGTACCCACCTCTAGATCCTGCTGGTGCTTGTGATCTGCACAGTTCTGATATGAAGAAAGTTGACCTCATCTGTGATGCTATGAGAACAGCCATGGAGAACATCAATGCTCCTAAGTACTTGGATATATGATTGTAGACTATTTCTGTAGACTAAAATCTGATCCTTATTATTCCATCACATCAGAATGTGTGACCGGAAAGAATCAAGGACGGTGCTGTGTAGATAGGAAAAGAGTTGATTCTTAATAGCTGGGGTTACCAGATACTTCCTTTCTGAAAACAGCCTCCGAAGTAGAAGCTATCACTTGGAAAAAAAGGAGACATTGGTTGTTGCCCCCCACACTCACCAAAATTCCTAGAATTTTGGAGTTCAGGGTGCTGGCAAAGGGAGGAATGGGCCTTCTCCATTAAGGAATAGTGAGTGTCCCCCATTCCCTTTCTCGGGCACTGAAGGCCGTGGCCGTTTTAGGTACTGGTAGGCAGAGGCAGGTGCAGAACGGTAACCATGGCCCTGCTATTCCTTTCCGCCGATGGACAGAAGGGCTGAGGGTGCAAATCAGAATTCCCAATCTTTGCTGCCTCCATGTCTCATTCACCACTGGAGGCATTGTAAAATTTTGTGGATGGAGGTCTTTAAGCCAGCTTTTCCGCTGAAGAAAAATACAGTTGCCTGAGGCCAAAGAAAGGATTTGCTCTCTCCATCTCTCTTGCGTACTTGACAAACCTTTAATTAGTAACCTGATTTTGGGGGAAAAAGCAAACCATAACACCTATTAGAATTTCTGGGCAGAGACAGTAGTTTAGGCAAGCGTTCAGCCTGTTCACGTGAGAAATAAGAGTGCACACACAGTACCTGCAAACCCCACACCCCACCCCCATGTTCCAGTAGTGTGAAGGGGCTTCTGCTTGCATTTGTTTGAAGACTGTTGCCTCTGTCAGACTGGGAGAACAGCTTTATTAGGTTCTTGAACACACTGGTGCTTCTACTTACATCCAAGCAAATGGGGGTAGAAACTGGTTAGATTTCATACTGTCAGCATGGAAGTTTGGAAACTGAGCAGGCCAGGTGACCGGGACCAGCATGGCCTCTCACTTTCCCCATCTTATGTGTGAGGAGACTGAATTTCTGCACAGGGCTAGTTTTCTTCTGCAAAAGGAAATTTCTCTAGACTAGGGATTTGGAGGTAGTGTTGCCTCACAGTAATGTATGCCAATTTGATGTGTTTGCTGTATCTTTCTATTACATCTGTGACTTTATGAGGGCACATCTCTGAATGGCAGCCTACAAATATATCAAATAAAGAAATAAATACTTTGGCTCATCAGTCTTTCCTTAAAACATTCTGGATGCTTTGTCTGAATTCAAAATTTGCTTCCAGTTTTACTGGACAGTTAAATCAGTAATGAAATTCAAATTGGCCTGAGAAATCCCACTTTTCCTTTCAAAACTCTTTTGGCTTCACTTTAAATTTCCTCAAACCCTTTCCCTCTACGTGGAACTCTGATGCTATTTTTTTGGAGTTTATCCTTTGGTTAATATTTCATTAGCAGTTCTGCCTCATGGAAAAATCTTTGTACTTAGAGAAATGAGAGGGCAACAAATTTACCAGTTTTTAACATGTTCTGTCTGACCTTTTTAGATACTGCTTGTCCATATTGACTTCTCACGTGAAAAAGAGCCCCCCAGAACTAGAAACTGCACTACAACGAATTCGTGAGCTACGAGGTACAGTATTTTGTTGATCAGGCATTACAGCTTTAAAACCATTTGGGGAAGGTAGGCTTGTATATCCTTATAGATAATATTTACATTTACCTCAGGAAGTCCTCCTCACTTATGCCCTTGGTATCTTACCAGCTGTTGACTTTATGTTTCCATAGATTTCCTCCCCTGTAAATTAAGTGAACATGAAGTTGGCCATTATAAACTGAAGCTTAGCTATTCATAACTGTAAAATAGATGGTAAACGTTAGTATTTTAGTAGCAATAATTGTAGATGCAAGCAATCAACACAGCCCTCCTTTTCTTTTTAGTTTAATTTAATGTACGAAGTACTTACCACAGCACATCAGCATTTTTTGTAAAAGTGATAGACAACAGTTATTAATACTAAATAATGCTTATTATTGGTTCATCAGAGACTCAAGAGGTAAACATTTAGTATTAACCTACTTTTGTACTGGTGCTTTGATTTAATAAGAACTTTTTAAAAAGCTAGATGTTGTGCCATTTTCATGCACGTGCCTTTTCATCATTTTGATCATTCTTTACAGCTTACCTAAACTTATTTTGGAGGCTTAGAGATATAGCCTTTTACTAGCCACATTTACACATCAGTTAAATATAGCATCATTGCTTGTCCGGCTTATGGCTAGACTAGTATGACATTATCTTTCCTTTATATAAACAACCCAGCCAAGAAAGGAGGTGTTTCCCATAATGCCTGAGCCTGGGTTGTGTTTTATTGTATCCAAAGAAGCCAGAATTAGTAAATCAATCACAAAACCTGGATTAAAGATAATTTACAAATTTTTGCTTGACAATTAATCATAAATCTGGGTTCAGACATCATATGAAACTCGACTTCCCCTTGTTCTGTAAGAGAAAGGGCCTCATGCGCTTGCCTTCTGCTTGTTAATATTTTGGTTTCTTACCCAAATCTGTCTTCCCAAAGTCTGACTTAAAATAACATGTGGAGTTAACCAATGTCTCATTAGATTACCCATGTAGTAATTCCTGAATCTGATATGGCCTGCTTGGTTCTTAGAATATCCTTGATTTTTTTAAAAAAAATCTTCTCCAATATGCTTGAATTGCATTATTTCAGATTGATTCTACTTGGAAATAGAATCTGTGATGTAGAAAAGTGGGATTGAAATGGAAACAAATACTTGTAATACTGTTGCGTTGCTCTTTTCATTAAAATTGCCATCTTAAAGCAACATCTTCCTTCATTGGTCAGGACATAAATGCTAAGGCGTTTTAACCATCTATATATGGTGATAATATTCGTTTGTTAAATCAGTAGGTACGTTTCTTTGGAAGGTTTTTTCATTGTCGGGTTTGGTGATTGAATCCACTGTTACAATGGAAGGGGAGGCTGGCCTTTTAGAGAGTTTGTCTTTAAAACTGCAGAACATGCTCCAATGGCGGCTGGATCTCTCAGTGCTGAGGAAGCCCTGAAGTACCTGCTATTCCTGGTGGATGTCAGTGAATTGTATGATCATTCCCTGGGGACATACGACTTTGATTTAGTCCTCATGGTTGCAGAGAAGTCTCAGAAGGTAACTTCTCACAGCATGTTTTATTTCTGCGTAGCTCATACCTTATGTCTCAGCCTGTTGGCACTGTTAAAAGAAGCTTGTTAGAATTCAAAATAGGTTCAAAGATTGGTAGCAACAACAACTCTTGGCAATACAGTGGTGCCTCGCTTAACGACGATAATCCGTTCCAGGAAAATCACCGTTAAGTGAAAACATTGTAAAGAAAAAAAATTGAAACGCATTGAAACCCATTCAGTGCATTCCAGCGGGGTAAAAACTCACTGCCCAGCAAAGATCCTCCATACGGCGGCCATTTTGCTGCCTGTATAGCGAGGAATCCGTCCCTAAACACAGCGGGAAGCCATTTTAATCACCCGGTGGCCATTTTGAAACTGCTTATCAGCTGTTCAAAAAATGTCGTTTTGCGAAGGATCAGTTCCCAAAGCAGGGAACCAATCATCGCAAAGCGAAATTCCCCCATTCAGACCATCGTTTTGCAATCACAATTGCGATCGCAAAAAGATCGTCGTTAAGCGGATTTGTTGTAATGTGGGGTAATTGTAAAGCAAGGCACCACTGTATTGGTTAAAATGCCATTTTTTGGCAGTCCTTTGTCCGTTCTCTGCACTTCTTGCAGATCACATCTGCTCCTTGTTTTATTTCTTTGCTGTTTCTGACTTCTCTGCCTTTGTTGGCCCATGTTGCCATTTAAACAGATTGATTGGGGTGATCTAAATTGTTCTCTGTGTGTGTGTGTGGAAATCATATTGGTTTTGTTTGTTTAGCTGCCAGTAGGATAAAATAGTAGCGTGGGAAAATGCAGCTAAAGACAGTAAGGCTAGAAAACTAGTAGTTGTACAGCATAAAGTCAAGATGAGACTTTTTTGCAACACATCCAGAAAGTTGCTGAAAATGATGGCTAAAATAAACATAAAAGAAAAGCAAAGTTTCTGCTCCGGTCTAGATTGTAATTTTGATTTGGTTGTAAATCGACATCTTTCCGTTCATCTGCAACCAAGCAAGCTGTTACAAATTCCATGTATTCATTGGCATTGTGGCTGCTGTAGTCCTTATCTTTTTTAAAAAATCCATTTTATTTTGTTTTAAAGGATCCTAAGGAGTACCTTCCGTTTCTAAATAAACTTAAGAAAATGGAAACCAATTACCAGCGATATTCTATAGACAAATATTTGAAGAGATATCCAAAGGCTCTCCAACACCTCAGTAAATGTGGTACGTGCACTCATGGGGGGGAGAGAGGCTTGACCTCTTAATGTTAAAGCAGGGATTGGTGTGACGGTTGAACTGAAATCAGCATATAATCCATGGTTTATAAGGGTTTACAAGTGTTTATCTAACCAGAATGTGTCAAACAATGGCTGATATCCTGCTCGTTAATGTCCTGTGGTGCAAGACTGATGGTGTCATCAGCCAGGGCAATTTTTTGGATATTAAATATTCTAGGGGGAGGCGACCTCTGGTAATTAAATACTTCTCCCTCCTGTCTTGCAACCTCCACAGGTCCCTGATAATGGAAGGAATTACTTAAGATCCATAAGGACATCAGAGCAGGAAGGGGAAATGTTTGATTTCCAAAAAATTGCCACAGCTGATGAGACCATCAGCATTATACCGTAGAACTTAGACAAACAGGATTTTAACCAATGTTTTGAAGCTGGTCTGGAGGTTGCTGTGGTTTGCCATTGTATTTCAAGTCACATATGGATGACCAGTTACAGTTAGGGCCAATTCTCTGTTTCTAGAGGCTGCTGCAGCCTGAACACAATGAGAGTGAACTTACAAAGTGAGAAAAGAAGATAAAGGCAGACAAGCCACTGTAAACCATGAGTTTCCTGTTACATGCCTAGACTCCAAAATCTTGATGTGGATTTCTTAACCATGGTTTGGTGTAAACCATGGTTTGCCATAAATGATTCAGTATAGTCAGGGATATTTCTTCTTGTCAATCCTGAAGACTAAGCTAAATGGATTTGAGAAAGAACAAGGTTTTCTTTCGATTTTTTTTCCTTTTGGAATACCTGAGACCTTTGCTTATTTCTCTTGCTCCACACCTAAGAATTGGGATTTATGTGCTTTTCCTCAGGTGTATTAAGTGTTGTGATTTGGAACCAACACTTAACCTGCCAAGACCATCCCAGTGAATCCCAGCTAGATAAGAGGAGCATATGCAGTGCTTTGATTCCTCATAATTAGAAGAAAGTGCATTTATTTTACTTTCTTTGCTCCAGGGCCAGAGCATTTTTCAGAATTCTTGAACTTGGTAGTGGATCAGAAATTGTATAAGGAAGCCTTGAAGCTGTATCTGCCAGACACTCAGGAGTACAAGGTACGCAGGGGGGTTCTTCCTCACCGACCAGGTTTTTTATTTCTAAGCCCATAATTTTGAGGATAGGGAGCCCAACTACAGTGGTGCCTCGCTTAGCGATGTTCATCCGTGCAGCAAAAATCACTGCTAAGCAATATCATTGCTAAGCGATTTTAAAAAGCCCATAGAAACGCATTGAAACCCCTTCAATGCGTTCCTCTGGGCTAAAAACTAATCTTAAAGCGAAGATCCTCCATGGGGCGGCCATTTTCAGTGCCTCTAAAGCGAGGCAAAACAGCGAGCAGCCATTTTGTTTTTCCGGCGCCCATTTTGAAACCGGCGATCAGCTGTGCGAAAATGGGGGCTTTGCGATGATCGCTTCCCCGCGATCATCAGAAAGCGAATTTTCCCCATAGGGACCATCGCAAAGCGATTTCATCGCTATACGGAGCGATCACTACTCGAGGCACCACTGTACTATGATAAAGTGCACACAGCAAGTCTTTGGCAGCGCTCCTGGTGGACATACATGGAACTCCTTCATCCCTTTGAAAGGGGCGTCTCTTCTTACTGGAAGGGTACTGGGTCTCCTCTGCCATAATGGTTAGGTGTGTGGCTTATCCAATGTATGTTGTTTTTGTTTTTGCTTTTTTGGGAATAGAACCTGTCTTCCAGTACTTTCAAACAGACCTGGAAGAGCTGTGGCCTTAAAGGTGTTGTTAGAGGAAACTCCAGTTCCCATGAGCTCCAGACTGCCTAAAATAGCAATAGTAGCAGTTCATGAACATCTGGATAACAGTATCTTCCTCACATCTGGTTCAGAAGATTAAATCACCTGGCTTGGGCCAGTGCTCCAAAGGGTCTTGGCTGTCCTAAGAATTTTATAAGGCAGTGGTTCCCAACCTTGGGTAACCCAGGTGTTCTTGGACTGCAATTCCCAGAAAATCTGAACAGCACAGCTGGTAGTGAAGACTTCTGGAAACTGTAGACTAAGAACATCTGGATTACCCAAGGCTGGGAACTAGTGGCACAAGAGCTTCTTCTCTGAAAAACTCAGTAATGTAGCTTCTTCTTTCTTTTAATTTATATTTTCATCTATTCATATATGTTGTCTGCAATGGGCACTTGACACATAGCGGCAGTCATTATTTCCATTTCCTTAGTGCAGTGAAATAGTTTCACAGTATTAATTTTATAGTTGCACAGCTCTGTTTTTGCGGTTTTGTACTCAAGTCTGAATTGTCTGAAAACCCATAGCGAATAGATGTCTCCCCCCCCCAAATTCTATGACATATGATATCTCTTTATTTGCATGAGTGAGTCTTGTCTCTTGTCTTGATACGTCCAGCCATGCTTAGTCTGTGCGTGGAAAACAAATCTTTTCTGAAACACTGATCTTCCCCTGCAACAGGCACTTGCAGGAGTATGTTGGGTGTGCCAGGCTTGTTTATGTGGGAAAGTGGCGAGACCTGGCCCATGCCATCAGAATGGGCTGTGCACACCATGGCACGTTCCCCAAATTCTTTTCCTACACTCAGGACAAGGTGCACTGTGGTTCATGGGTAGATGAGTGATGGCTCCTTCAGAATGACCAATAATAATAATAATAATAAAACTACATCCTTGTGATTAAAACTTGCAGACGGTCAGCTATGCATATGGAGAATATTTGATCCAGAAACATCTGCCGGAGCAAGCGGGCCTGATCTTTTTCCGATGTGGTGCCTTTGAGAAAGCACTGGATGCCTTTCTAATCAGTGGCAGCTGGCAGCAGGCCCTCTGCACAGCCGCTGAGCTTTGCTACCCAGAGGATAAGTTGGCTGACCTAGCGAGGAACATGGCAGGTGAGCCGTCTGATCATCACCATAGAAGTGCATTGCTGGAAGGGCCCAGTCTCTTGTTTCTGCTGCTCTTTAGGCTCGGTACTCGAAGATGGCATCCTGAATGTGTTGTTGTTGCTGCTTTGCTTATCTTTTTGCGTGCGTTGCTTCTCCCCCAGAAAAATCGAAGCCACATACAAAACCTCCTAGTATGAATATGTTGCTAATATTATTTATCCAATACTTTTGGGATACATAGCACTCTAGAGAGTAATGTGGCAAGAATTACACATGTGTATGTGTGTGTGTGCGCACACCCACACACCAGCTTGTGCTCTAAGCACCTTCCAGTCTACCTTTCAGCAGACAGGAAGACAAGAGGAGCGATGTGAGACTTTGAACAACCAGCGATGAGTCTTAGCAAGTACAGCTACCTTTATCTTCACTTGCACTTAGTCTTAAAGTCAGTGTCATGAGGTTAATTTTGTCTAGAGCTTGGAAGTAAGTAGCTGGAAATAATTTAGTTGTCTGCCACTTGAGTTTGCTTTGTTGGACGGAGGGATGGGGGGGTCAGCGAAGTGAGTAGGGATGGTGCTTAAATATTTCCTGAGGAATGTCTGTGTGCCTCTGTGTCTATAAACACAGAACTGACTTATAATGACTCTGATAGGATTTTCGATGTAAGTGAGGTTTTTAAAGAGTGGTTTTACCAATTGGACCCCCACCAGTGAGTTTCTGTGGCAGAGCCATGGAATCAAACCCATGTCTCCCATTACTCTATCCGCTACACTACACTGGGTGCCTATATATCCAAAAACATACCGTATTTGCTGGAGTACAGGGCGACTGGGCATATTAGACGACCCCCCCAACATTTCCACTCAAAATATAGAGTGGACGGCTCTGCTGTGGCGCTGGCGCCGGCTGCCTGGGGCTCTGTCCGGGCCCGCCCTGGTAGTTCATGGCCGGCGACGAGGAGGGAGAGAAGGAAAGGGAAGCGGGCGGGTGGGCAGGTGGTGGCGGAGGAAGAGGGGAAGGAGAAGCAGCTCTCCGGTGGCGAGCGGGCAAGCTGGCTCAGCGGCGTGGGGTGGCGGGCTCTGGCCACTCAGGCATGGCCGGCTCTGCTTCCCTCCCACCCTCTGTCCGGACCACCCGCCTGCCTGCCCGCCTGCCTTCCTCTCCGGCCAGCGCAGCCCCGCGTCACTCACTCAACGGCAGCGGCAAATGAAGTGCACCCGACGTACAAGACGACCCCCGCCCACTTGGAGACATGTTTTTGGGGCAAAAAAAGTTGTCTTGTACGCCGGCAAATATGGTATGTACATAGTAAGAATTGCATGCTGTCAGGTCAATTGTGACTTATGGTAACCTTTTTCAAGGTGTTATAGGTAGATACTTGGAAGCAATTTGCCATTCCCTTCTTCTGGGGGCACCCTGGGCCTGTGCAGCTTGCCTTACTTTCAGGAAGCACAGAGGGGAACCGAATTCATAACCTCTGGCTATGCAGCCAGCTTACCTAAACCACTGAACTAACCAGCCTGCTAAATACATACATACTGTAGATACAGTATCTGTATGTTGTCATTAAAAAGAGTGTTAAAACACTTCCGGGTACTTTATACCTACAAAACTCTGAGAAGGATCACCATAAATTGGGATTGACTTGACAGCACATCATCATTATTATTGTATTGCTACTGACAAGAGCATCGGCATCAGTGTATATGTTCTGTAAAAGCACTTAAAAGGCTACATTTGGCCTGATAAGGTACAAGGTTTATAGATCCAAAGTATGAAACCTCTGCCCTGGGACCCAAAGTTCATTCTGATGGCCAAGGCAGCTCTATCAGCAAAATTGGGAAGCTATTTTCCCTTCTTGCCCACAGGCTTATCCTCAAATATATTCCAGATTGCTAGGAGACCCTGTGACATACGGCTACAGGAGAGTGAAGAAGAAAGACCTGACACACTGATGGAAATATCCTCATAAAATGTTGAGCTTAAATCTGCTGCTTTTATTTTAGAAGGGGATAAAAAAAAGAACTTTAGAAACCTTATAGTCGTGGGAAATACTTTCAGTATGTTCCTAATGTAAACGTGTAGCTTGCTGAGATTACGCTTCCCACCACAAAGCTTCTGCCCAGACCTAGATTGGGAACAGCCTCTGCATTCTTACTCATAAGAGTGTAAGGAGACTCCTGCAGGTCGAGAGCAAAGACCTCTCTGGTCAAACATCCTGTTTTCATCATCAGCCAACCAGCACACAAGGCAGCCCACCGGTTGTTTTCAAGCAACCGCTTTTCAACTGTATGTTACCCCCTGACCGCCTCCTATTCCCCCTATTTATGGGTCACAGTGGGTTACGATGGATACAATTGAGGATCTCTTGGTTCCTTTGTTATTTTCACCCACAAAAGAATAGGGTGCATGCTAATGCGAGAGTCATTCTCAGTCTCCTCCTAGGGACAAAGTAAGAACTGAATAAACTCTGAGAAACGGAAAATGGCATCCTGGTGGTTAGAAGCAGGGCTTCTGACAAACAAAACAAAACACCCTTGTTTCTCCAATTGGCCAGAATGCCATTTGGTTATTTACAGCTGCCAGTCATAGAGCTTGGTAGATGAGAAGGAACACAAGAGATGCCTTGTTAACTAGTAACTGTTCACTGCAGCAATTTTACACCATTGCACTAATGCTGGTGTAAGTAACCAGTCAGATTCTGGCCACTGCCCATTCTTATCTGCCTCCCTTTCTCCTGGTGCTCCAACTATGCTCATTCTCCATGCCCCTCCCCCCCTTCTGTGGCATTCAGAAATTTTGCTGAACTTCATCCCCTGCCCCCCTTGCTCAATCCTTGAAGCCTGACTAGTGGAATCAATAACTGACTTTATGCAAATTATATGTAACCAGGGATTGAATTTGCATACTTGTGTGAAAAGACTGTTCGGTTGCCATGGTGCAGAATCTGCTATATGCCTTGACAGCCAGGACACAGCCTGTTACCAACTCCTGTGAAGGTGCACTTTTTTTTGGTTACCTTATAAGATGCTTTCAGGACGAATCAATGTCGTCCCGTCTGCCTAACTGGATCTTACCTGTCCTCTGAGTGATACCTGAATTTGGAAAGAGACAGCCATGTATAAAATGACACACAAGCGTAACTTGTTTCATCAGAGGGAGAGCGGTTTCTCTTTAATTTTCTCTTTGAAACACTGAGCCTTCTCCATTCTTTCAGGGAGGTTTACTGAAAAGAGAAAATACGCCGACGCAGCAGTTCTTCTAGAACAGTATGCCAAGGTAAGGCCCCAGTTTTCCTCCCGTTGTACCCTGCTGCTTTTTACTTAAATTCTCAGCTTGCACTGTTTATCCTGTGTTTCTCCGTCTGTTCTGTTCCTGAGTTTTCAAGGAAATGAACAGTCTCTCAGAGCCCTTTCAGGTTTTAATTAGGTTGCGAGAGAATCTTTCCCGCAGTCCCATTCCTTATCAGGTTGCAGCACCATAAAAACGTTTCAAACTAGGTTGTGTTTTCTTTACTGGGATTTTGTACGTAATGCTTTAGCCCCGGTGGTGTGGATGTACATCATAAGGGTGAAATCTGTGCTGCCAGAAGGTTATAACTCTGTTTATGGAACCTGTCCACTGAGGAGAGAGTACAGTACTTGTTTATTGGTGTGGGGTAACCTATACTTCAAGCTTCTGTTCCAATACCTCAAGATTAGAGTGACCAGCGAGAGCACAGAAGTTGGCCTTTGCTGCTGTAAAAACTTAAAACGGTTGAGTGAAAGTTAACTGCATAGATCCACAGAGTGAATAGGCCTGGTTCACTCATCCACATGTGTCATTCTGTCATTTGTTCAAGGTTCTCAGCGAGGTGGATGAGATGCTGTTAAAATGTGATGGGGAACTTTTGGTCCTCCAGATGTCCTAGTCTAAGTTCCCATCATCTTTACCCAGCACAGGTAGTTTGGGAAGTTGTAGTCCAAAACATCCAAAGGGCCAAACATTCTTCCCCCTGACATTTTAAGACTCAGGAATGCTAGTGGTGACATTACGTCTGTCGTAGCTGGTGCATGTGGAGAAGCCCCTGCATCGTGCACTGTGTGATAGTCATCAGAAGTTTAACGGGCCTATTGGTGCCCTTCAGATAAGGTGCTGAACAGACTAAATAATTTCTATTTATTCCATTTATGCTAAACTCTTTGGTTGATTTCCAGGGTAGCTTAGAAAAAAAAAAGATTTCAGGAAAGCTAATTCAGCAAGAATATCGGAACACTAGCCATCATCCTGTTACCCTTATAAACCAGCATAGATCAAATGGTGTAAACAGCAGAAATTGTCACTAGTTAAAAAGTCATCATTCACATTCCTTGAAGCCAAGTTATGCGACTGGTGTGCAGTGAGAAATACAAGGGTTGACTCCTTTATTTATACTGGTTTATGTAGTTCTGTTACCAGTCAAGTAGGCACTTTCCCAAACTTCTCTTTTCAGTCCTGAGGGCCTAGTGATGCTCAGCTTGGTCTGCAAGTGCTTCCTTTCCTCTCTCTTGTCTTCCAGGATTATGAAGAGGCCCTCTTGCTTCTCCTGGAAGGAAATGCTTGGGACGAAGCCTTGAGATTAGTAAGCTCTTCAAAACCGTGGACCCCGCTCCATTCGCATCTAATGGGGAAATTTGTGTTTGTCCCTTGATAAACACTTTGCAGCAGATTTTCTTAACCTTGTTTTTCCCCTCCTCCAGATTTACAAGTATAATAGGAGTGATATTCTAGAGACCAACTTCAAACCATCTCTTCTAGAAGGTAACACTGTTATCCGTGGTTTTCAGTATCCACAGGGGGCTTGGAACCAATCCCCAGTGGATATGGGGGTCCTACGGTACTTCCTGACAGCTGAGGTGCTCCTAGATGTATAATTCCAAGAGGGTTTCGTGTACATACATAGAAATAGCATGTTGTACAATTCTTTTTGGGTGGTGCTGTTTCAGAATCCAAGTGGTGCAATTTGTATTTGAATGCTTCCCTTATGTTAAATAACCCTCCTAGGTAGGGACTGCTAGCACATCAGAGGGAAGGCTAGAATCTTGTTTCCTGATCTATTGGTTTTCTGTGCACAAACATTGGTTTTGTGTGTGTTTGTTTACGCTGGGAGAATTTGAGTTTACTGCCTGTATGAAACTTGTGTCCTTTATAGTTTTCAAACTGCTCCCTTCTTTTGAGGAACTTTTTAATTTGCTCTGCTTCAGTTTTACTCCATAACTTCATTTCTTCTTTTACTACCTTGTAGCCCAAAAGAATCAGTTGGCGTTCCTGGGGACTCAGAAAGCAGCGTTTTCTCGCCATCGTAAGCGTCTCTCTGTGGTTCGAGAGTTGAAACGGCAAGCCCAAAATGACCTGCTTGGTATGCATCAGGGGTTGAACTAGTGTTTCACAGTACCAAGCAGTAGAGAGTTCCGCATCAGAGCAGCCCTTTGAGATGGCATGCAGAGCAAATGAAGAAATAAATGAAATGCAAGGCTAAGAGTCATGATGGCTCTATTGTAAGCCCAAGTTCGAAGACACTGTGACAAATCACACAGCAGGAGAGAAGGGTATTAACACCACACAGTACTTACCAGTTCCCCAAAATCATCTACTGGCCACTATAGGAAGCAGAATGCCAGACAAGAGAAGTCTTAGATCCAGTCCAGGGCTGGGGGTGGGGGTCTGTTTTGTCTCTATGAGCTTGAACACAGGTGACCAAAATTCCTCTTTCAATTCAGATCAACTTCATATCCACTTTATCTCATGGCCCATTTACTTAGTCAGTTTACTAAATTTATTCCTTTGTTTACTATGGTGGGATTGGCACCATAAAAAATAGCTGGCTGCTACAGTGTTACAGAGACAGAATTGCGGGAACATGGAAGGATTTAGGAGGAAGGTAGAGGGTTGTTGTTTTTCCTGCTGATCTAGATGATTGGCTTTTGCAGATCTGGAAGCACCAAATGGCCCAGAATCGGACCTTTTTTCTGATGCCAGCAGCATAATGACAGCCAGCGACATGAGTTCGAAGTACACTCATAGCAACTCAAGAATATCTGCGTATGTACTCTGTCTTTTGCTTTGCTTTTGCAAAGCTTTTGCAAAGCTTTTGCTTTGCTTTACTTCACAAGCCTGGGTGCTGTCCTTGTCTCAAGTGGTGAGGTCTGGAATTATATTTGCATTGGCTCACCTCTAGTGCAAGTTTTTCTCATATGTGTAGTTTAATCCAGTTGCTGTGATACTCTGCAGGAGGGTACGGATAAACAAGCAGGCCATACAGCAGTTTCCCCCTGAGCCCCAGCTGGATTCCAGCTGTTTCATGCAGACATTTCCCCAGTTTCACCTTTAAGAAAAATGGTCTTCAGAAATGTGTATCAAACAGAAAAAGAGGAAGGTTATTATAGGCCTAAGTGGGCCAACTCAGACTTTGCTTTAGTGTATCAAAGCATTGGCAACAAGGCCAAATACTGTTGGTGTGTGGGATTTAGTCTGTTATATGTGTGTTTTACCGAGTGTTTGGTCTATTGCAGACGGTCCTCAAAGAACCGTCGCAAGGCAGAGCGAAAGAAACACAGCCTGAAGGAAGGAAGCCCCCTGGAAGATGTTGCACTCCTGGAGGTTTTGGGGGAAATAATTCGTAGCATTGACAATATGAAAGGTTAGTCCCTGATACTGTTGAAGCCACCGTATAGACATAATCTGATGAAAGGCCGGTAGACGTGATCCTAAAAAGAACGATAGGCAAGGGGAGACCCTCAAAGAGCAAGAACTACAGTAGGACCCCCCTATCTACAGGATTAGTACCCATGGTTTCACGTATCCACTGCCTGAAAAATTATTTATAAATCCAGAAATAAGCATTTCCAAGGTGTATTACCAGAACTGGCCACTAGATGTAACCAGAGACTATGCTGTGTGTACACACACACACACACACACAGTGGTGCCTCACTTAACGATGTTAATTGGTTCCCCAAAAAATATCGCTATGGGAAAACATCGCTAAGCGAAACACGGTTCCCCCATTGGAATGCATTGAATAGGTTTCAGTGCATTTCAATGGCTTTGACAGGTCCGTTTTCGCTATTTTTAAAGTGTCTTAAAATGTTCAAAAACTGTTTTAAATGCTTGGAATCGTTAGTGCACCTTGTAAAACCTTTGCAAACTTAATTTGGCTTTGTTCTGAGTCTTTGTTAATTTTTGGTGAATTTTTTTCTCCCCCAGTGGAATGCAATATATATATTGGGAGAAGGCTTTGAAAAAGAAACAGCTAACGGGGCAATTCTGTTAAATCACCTACATATATATATAGGTGATTTAACAGAATTGCCCCGTTAGCTGTTTCTTTTTCAAAGCCTTCTCCCATCTCATCTGGGGAGGCCTTTCCTCCACAGCAGCAATAGGTGGGTGAGACCTTTGGCCATGTTAACTGGCACAGTCGGTCTCCACAAGCTGGTTCCTGACAGATACTGCCTGTCTAGCTTTTTTTTGTTTGTTTGTTTGAGGAGAAATGGAGAAGCAGCATTTGTGGGGCGGGTGGGCAGGCACACCGGTTGTGTGTGTATGGCCATCACTGGTTTCAAGGAAGCCTCCCTTCCGAACAGGAGGGCAGGAAACCCAGTCCTTTGCATAGATTGGGCAAGGTCTCTCTCAACCATGCACAGACACCAAAGAAACTGGAAATGAATCATTTGCTTATCCACAATTTCTGGCATCTCTATGTGTGTGGGTGTCTTGGAACCAATTTCCCATGGATACCATGGTTCTACTGTACTATTAAATCTTGAGAAAGAGATTCCAAACGGTGATGTGCACTGGCTTTGTCTTAACCAGGATTTGAGGTAAAGCCTGCCTTCATTACTGGATGAATGTACTGTACAGTAAACAGTAAATCCAAAAATGGCCAAAAACAATGTTTTAGTATGTGGGTATATAAAATTTGCAGACACCTGTTCGTTGACATCTGCTTTCATCTCATTAACTAGAGAACTTGGCAGAATGCTGCCTGAGCATTTCTTCTTTATATCTTAATCACTAAAAAATGGGTGGTTTTTTTTAAAAGAAAAAAAGTATAAAATATTATTTCCAGGCTGCAAAAGAGGAGCTAAATAGCAGGTTTGTGTATTAAGCCATACTTTAAAAGTTGCATTTGAAATGTATAATTTGGGGTGGGGGTGTCTTTAATTTCTTCCCAAGGTGAGGTACATAGCCTTTTAAAGCATCTAGTTCTCTTTGGCTATGATGGACAAGCTCAAGAGTTGCAGGCCGCATTTGAGGAGACCCTTGACTTGACAGAGCCGTCTCTCCTTGAAATCTGGAGTCCTGACCTGCAGCAGATCCCAGCTAATCCAGTAAGATTTCTGTTCATCCTGCATTGATGCCTACAGTAAAAGAAGGGTACAAGGTCAGCCACAGAAGTTACAAACCTGGGCCGCAGGGGCTTCTGTGAAGGACTCCCATGCACACTACTATCCCACCCGGCTGGGAAGACAAGCAGCAAGTGAAGTCCAGTGTACACTCAGCCTGTGCTTGCAGGAGCTGGTGGAGGGAGTGCGGCCAGCCTTGCTTCTCCTCCTGTTCGGGCATCGGACGGGAAGCAAAACCAATTGCACATGGAGACAGTTTCTACAAGCATTGGCTGAATGCATCCTGCTTCTGCTTTTCTCTTCCCATAAGTTGCTGTGGTCTTGATGATGCCAAGGGGTAGTGGCAAAGCCCTTGTTGTCATTCAGTCTGCAGAGCACTTGGTGGGGGAATCCCGTTTGTCAATCCCGGGCCTAAACACCCCTCCACAACACTGACACTTTCAGGAAGGTGTGAATTCTCAGATAGGCCACATCTATATCAGAGAATTAACAGCCATCGGCCCCTTATTGAGAGAGTACTCCCGAATCAGCGGTCCGTGTCAATTACGTGTAGCTTCTTCTTGAGTTGGGGATCAATTCTGGAAATACTTAAATGCTTATTGTAAAGGCACTTGGAAAGAAGCTTCTCATAGCTGCCACTGCTGTGGGTGTCAACGCAGGGCTTAATTGACAGGTATTGTAGCCACCACCAGAACCAAGCCTTTCAGTCTGCTACAGTGACATGATTTACCCACAGAGCTTCTGTGGCTCTTCATGGCACACTTAGGCAAGCAGCTTCTTTAAACAGAGTGCTGCTGCTCATCAAAGGAGGGGTAGAGAAATAGCCTCCAGATGGTGTTTTTTTTTGTTTTGTTTTTTGTTTGTTTGTTTTTTTGGACTCCATTATCCCTGAGCATTGATTTTACTGGCTGGGGCTGATGGGAGTTGGAGGGCTACAGGTTTCGCACTCATGGGTCCATCGCGACCTGCTGAGCCAACTCAGGCTGCAGATATGCTTCTGACACAGCACAGCACACCTTGGTGGGGGTGGGGGGGAGGGAAAGAGGAGAATGAAGCAAAACGATATTGTTCCCCTTTGGAATCATAAGGAACTACCCTGGCCTCTTTGAACCTGTAGGAAAATAATTACATTCAAGGAGAACTATTGGGAAAATGCCAAAAAGAAGCTGCAGTCAAGCTAGGTTTTATGCCTGCTAAAATGCCACACCCCTCATTGCTGGACAAATATTCCTGTTGACAATGCCTTGCAATTTTAGATCCTAGGTCCCAGTTCAACTGCCAATAGCATCAGTGCTGCCTACAATCAGCAGAAATCAATGGCTCTTGGAGTACAAGGTAAGCCAGCGAGAGATGCTCTGCAAAAGGGCACATGATACCATGGTTACATCCAATTTTTATGTACAGAAATATGCTGGAATTTAAGCTTGACAGGAAGTAGATTCCTCTAGTCCCAAATGATGCAGAGAAAGCTATTCCTGGTTGTGCAGTGTGGAGGGGAAACACATTCTGTACGTGGTCAGAGGTATGGTTCTTTCTTTGTTTCAGGACTGTGCTCTGGCACTGAAAGCATAATTCTGCAACTGATCCCTTGTGAGCTCTGGCTTAATATTAAGTTCTGATGTATACCTAAACTGAACATATATTTTAAGTGGATTGTTATGCATTATTGTTCTGAGTGTGTTTTTAGTATCGCTTTTGTTTACCATTTCTCAGAGTGGTATCTGTTTGATCCTCTTTAGTATTTATATACTCACTGTAGTTAGCTTTAAATATTGTCTTTTAATGATGGAAGCCACCTTGGGTGCTTTTTAAGGAGAAAGGCAGGGTAAAAATAATTTTTTTAAAAAAATAAATGGAGCATGTCGCTAGCAAAGCCCCAAAAATCAGTTCTGCCAATTTTGGTAGCAGTGGGGTAAAAATAAGAGATTCTCAATTTTAGATGGTTAATGAAAATACTGTAAGTATATTTCTGTGTTGACAAAAATAAAGAAAAGGGAGAGAGAATGGTAAAATATTGTGGCATTCACAAAAGTTCACACTAAAATATATCTCATTGTCTTAAATGTGCTGCAACGTTTTGCCTTTTTCCCTTTCTCCTTTATTTTTGCCAACATGCTAATACTGTTACTTCTTTGGAGGCATCTTCATAATAATTAACAGTGTGAAAACTCAGAAACTAGTTTCCCAGTCGTTTGTTTCTCATGTTCTCTTTTTTCACCACAGTGAGGTTTTGATAGCTTGGTATGTTTTTACTTTATTTTCCCTTTGATATAAGATTGTGCTTATATATCTTTTTCCTATTGCTTACTTACCATTCATTATCTCCACTCTTATTGATAACATTAGGATTTTGTTTCATGTAATTTCTTTTCCTTTCTCAGATCCAGAGTTATTTATGCCTCCCAAACTCAACAAAAGCATGCAGTGGAAGCTGAACATTCTTCAGTAATACCAACAACATCATTGCTCACAGACTGAGGATCTGTATTTAAACAAGTGTTTTCTCTGTTGAAGTATATATTACTCTCCAGGTCATGCAGTTTGACTGATCATGTGTCCTAAAAGACATGGACAGGACAAAATTGATGCAGAATAACTTTGCTCTCTATGTCTGGTTTATAACCTCTCTCGGTTTCTTCTCCCTACCACACACTAGTATGTCACAGAAAACTAGAAACAACTCTTTAAGCATAGCCATCATAGATCAGACAAGCAACTTGAGTTACTTCTTGGCTTCTTCAACTGTGATGCCTTGAAACCTTATAAACTTGAGTTGTTTTCTGGAGGTCTAATATAAATGATCTTTAAAAATGTTTAAAGCAGAGCAAAGATGACCTACTTTTTCCTGCACAGCTCAGGAAGTAATACTGGACATTCTTGTTTGAGTGTTAAAAACAAATCCTTCACTGCACTGGACCTGTCATTTTGAACATCTCAAGTTCAGTCCTCATTGGTACATACACAACTGAAAGGTTTCAACTGAATATATTATTATGGATTTTCGGACATTAACTTTGAAACACCATGGCTTCACAAAATGAATACTGACGAGAACTTTCTGTTTCGCAAAATTCAAGAGGGTAGTGGGAGAGGTAATAAAATTTTGTAACTTCTTTATATCTCTTTGGTGTCATTTCTGTTCTCTTGTAACCCATGTGTGCTCAGAATCACTTCATATTTGAAAACTTGTTTATTACTTAAAAGACTACACAAGGGTATACAAGCATTTTCTGAAAAAATTGTTTCCAATATGGGATCATAATCCTTACACTATGCATTTGGAGGATATTTAGGTGTATTGATCAGTGCCCAATAATCCATGTGTTTACATCCTTACCTATGTCTGTATGCATATAACATAATACACAAGGTTGTAGCATCCCGGCCACATTTTGTTTTAAAAAGGTTAGAGGAAAGTTACAGACCGTATTTAGTGTTCTCTCAGTTTGAATTTATTTTTAAGTTAATTCTAAGGCCATTCTTGAATGCAATGTCATGCTTAAATCTATGTGAGTAGATATGTGGCACACATAGTAGGAGTTTTTGGCATTTACAGATAGAGGTTTGAGGCCAGCAGACCTGGTTATGTTGTAAGGCAAGAATTACCGCATTTTTTGTTCCATAAGACGCACCTTTCCATAAGACGCACCAATTTTTTAGGAGAAGAAAACAGGAAAATATAATCTGTTTTCTTCACTCCATAAGACGCACAGACTTTCCACCCCCGTTTTGTGGGAAAAAGTGTGTCTTATGGTGCGAAAAATACGGTATACTTTTCCCTGCCATGCAGTTGTCTGAGCTCAGAGTTAACAGACAAGACACAAAACTGCAACAAAGCATACAACAGAATGTTATTTGCTGGAATGTGCAGTCCTGCCACACTGCCCCATGTTTTGGATTTCCCTTGTGGTATGCTTTGCCCAAAAAGTAGGGAGGGAAGAGTAAGCTCAATAAATAAATAAATAAATAAGTAAGTTAAGTAAGTAAGTAAGTACGTAAGTCTTCTTGCTCCTTCGGTCATCAGAAGAAGCAGGGCACAGAAGTGAATGGCTGCTTAAAAAGAGGGCTGCCATATTTCCAGAACGCAGCGGGTGGGGGCATTCAGAGCCAGTCTGCAGAACTTCTTGCCTTTTTCCATGACTAGCAAAAGCAGAATAAATGATTGATTGATTTCATACGGCATAGCAGAATACAGCATTATCACGACTTCGCAAAGACAATATAAAACATGTATAAAATATAAAACATCAAAAGAATAAATTCTATGAGATTTTAAAAACATGCAATACAAATAGTAAATAATTAGTGAAATAAATGATATATGAGCAGTTGCTAGAGTGACTAAGCCTAAGGCTGGATATCAAATGAATCAATCAATCAATCAATCAATCAATCAATCAATCAATGATACACACTGACTATGCAAGTTTGTGTATCTTATACATGCCACAGGATTGGGTTGGCCTGGATTTTGGCACATAAAGGTTTCTTAAAAGGTTTAGTCTCTATTTAAATTGTATTCTGTATTTTAACCATGATATGTGTCTGTAAGTTCAGAATAATGGATTCATACTTGAGCCTGAAAATTAATTATCCTTATGTACCCTTCTGTTTTTTTATAGGAAAAAATTCAGACGTGTCTAATTATGCAATGTATTTGCTTCATTGCTGCCAAAAACATTTCTTTTTTGTAGGTGTGTACAAATGTAGACTACTTGGTTGCCATTCAGTGAAGGAGATAATCGAAAGATGTTCGTTGTTTACACATATCCAAAGTCAGAATAGCTGTGAGGATGCCCAGCCTCCAATAGGGAAGGAAGAAGAATGCATCAGTTCTTAAAAGAGAAAGATTTTAGTGTTTTAGGACTAATAAAACATTTAGTTTTAAAAAGGAACTCAGATAGAAAGTACTGGGTAAGATCCTTGACAGAGATTGTGAGAGCGGGACATAGCAGTGGACTCATGTGGCCCGATTTTGTAGTAGGCAGCATCATACTTTTGATTTACATCTTGCTCAAAGAAAGGCTTGTGACAAACCCAGACCTACTGGGATCTGCCACACGTTAACTAAGCTGCCACCAACCATTCCCTGTAAGAAGTCACACAGACCAGGGATGGATTTTTAAACAAATAAAGAATAAGGTTTATTTTAAATACACACAGGGAAAAATAAAACAATCAGGTAAATAGTATAAAGTAACGTGGCTTATTCTCACTCATACAAGCATACAGTTTGGTTCACCCAGAACCCTTAACTTGAAGCACAGACCCTGAACCTATCAGTTCTGGCTAACCAACAGACACCTGAACCTATCAGGTTGGTACTCTGACACACAGAAGTACCCTGTCTGACACACAGACTCCCACAACAGCTTCTTCTTCCCAGCTGCTGCTTCGTCACATCCCAGTGTCTCTCAGCATCTCTCCAGTGTCTCCTAGCATCTCTTCCACACGCATCACATATTTATACAGTACAGCCCCTCCTCCTGATGTCCCGCCTTCCACTCCCCATAGGATGGAACTTTCCCTCCAAACCCATGACAGACAGGTAACATCAGTGCTGTATGTAACAAGGCTCAGCAAGCAAGGAAATGTTTCCAAAAAACACAGCAAAATGTTATGCACTGGTCAAACACGATGGGTCATTTTCTTTAAAAATCAACAGTGCTTAAATTCTAACATAGCGCACCATAAAGCACTGAAGATTTCAAGAGGAACAAAACACATACATGTGTTCATAATATGGCACTGGTATACCAGTGGGAAGTTGTCACTTATTACTAGTATCATCACAACCACCAGCAATCTGATACCCATGACATTTTCACCCCCATGTATTTTTGGAATTAAAGATTTCTGATTACATCAGACTTGTACTGTAGAGTACATTCAGGCTACACTACAGCTCAGAATTAAAGCTATAACCTAACATAACCTGAATGTTAAAACTAGTGTTTCCCCAAATGCCAAGAACTGGGATACAACTTAGGGTTTTGCGAGTTACAACTGGAGATTCTTCACTCTTGTAATAAAGAAAATACGAACCTTTTTACCTGCTCCAGTGCAGGGAGCAGGCATTCCCTTTGATACTGTGAGACAGTCTAGTTCAGGCTTGTCCAACCTGTGGCCCGAGGGCCGCATGCGGCCCAGGTCAGCTCATAATGTGGCCCAGTGCGGTTTTTTTTTAATTTTTAAACAAATTCCAAAGTTTCAAGTTACACTGCCGGCGCTTGCGGCCGGAATGTGGCCGGGGGATGTCACAACAGTAGAGGGGGAGAGAGGGAAGGAAGGAGCGGGAGGGGAGGGGACAGGGGGGTTGCGTGACTGCATTGCGCCATCCCCATCAATAGGTGGACCCCCTCCCAGCCCCATACAGCCACCGGAGTCGAAGCTGGCAGCCTTTGCTGTCTGAGATCGCAGCTGTCAGTAAGCGCGCTTGGAGCGGGGCTACAGAGGGCAGCTAGGGCTGCCCCTCCCCTGCAGCCCAAACCAAATTTATGTGGGGCCCAAACCAAATTTTCATCTTCTAATGTGGCCCAGGGAAGGTGAAAGGTTGGACACCCCTGGTCTAGTTAATGTTGCCCCCTGGCCTCTTTGTCTTTGCCTGTCATGCCTCAAAATGGAACAATGCTTTTTGGATTTCTTCTTTTGAAGTGGAATAAGATTGCTGCCCATTGCAGTTTTTAAGGTGGAAAAGAGAAAGGCATCCCTGGAGGAAGTAAAGCTAAACAAAGACACCTGTCATTTTATAAGTGAAAAGGCTTATTTAATTGATCAAAAGTGATTTAAATTTGGCTACCGCCGTCTAACTTTGCTGTATGGGAAGGAGGTAACCCCCCTTTTTTTTACTCCTTTCTGCTGATTCTACCTCAGGTAATTGCAGAAACAACAGAGGTAGCTCTTTAAGAATAGATTCATTATAGCAAAATATTTTGTGGATGGTACATCAATCCTTATTTAAGATATATTTAAGGAAAAGAACAGAAATTTTGGAATCCCTAGCAAAGATCTGCTAGTTTGTCCCCACTTTACCCTGGAAGTAGTTAATTTGGGGTCTCTATCCTTCCCCACACCTTGATTCTCTCTTTTTTAATAAAACGGACAGGCAGCCTCATACTGCTTGTACGTATTGAAGCCCTCATAAGTGAGACTAAGTCCTATATTTGTTAACTCACAAATTTTTCCTAAGCGATTTAATCAAAACTTACTCCCTGGAAACTACTTGAAAGATACAATCTATAAAGTCTGTCTTACCTGTGGACACAATTATCCTGCCTTATGTCTGTTACCTCACTAACACTCTGCTGTTATTACTATAAGCTTTTAATAAAGGCACTACAGAAAATCTTGTCGGCCCTTACAGGCCAACCATCATTCTCATGCGCAATGCTGGAAAAGGGAGTGTGTGATTTTCAAACTAACTTGGATCCCACTGAGAAGGTAGTAAGTATGGAACAGATTAATATTGTGAGGTCAGGAATGTTTCCTGGAAATGTTAAAGGAGACTCTTCTTCATATTCTCTCCTGTGAGCCCAAAGTTTCTGGGAAGCCTCAAGGGATGCACCAATAGAGCCTCCAGTTCATATGGAGGTAATTCCTTTGGGGTGTGTGTGATGAAATGGGACTATCATTTAGATACATTCTATTCAGCTCTTTCTGGAAATGGCCAACAAAACCTTTGATCATGGCACAGCCTCCACATAACAAAATGTTGCTCATCAAGTTCTTTTTGAGGGTGACATCACACATTGAGAGTGTTACATACAGCACTGATGTTACCTGTCGTGAATTTATCATTGATAGCTTGAAGAGCATTTCGGTACACATGAATCTGTTTGCCAAGGGTGATTGTTTGCTCATCAGGAAGCCCATATTCAATCTCATGTTTCCTGGGAGATGCAGCTCAATCCTGCCAATAGTCCAGTGAAGAATAATTCTGTTTGATATCATCCAAGATGCTCCAGTGTTTACTGTGAATAGTTTCCCAGACTCATTTAATAGCTTCATTAGATACCAAGTGACATTCAATCCAGCATAATCTACCTTTTCAGTAATTATTAGCATAATATCGTCTTCGTAAACAGAAACCACATATGAGATGCCACAACCACTCTCCATAACAAGACTTGATGCCTTTCCATAAGAATACAATGACAAGTTAGATTGGTAAATAACATGCATGGCAGGTTTGTTGAACAGTTCAAAGAGCATTGCTCTGTTGGTGGTAGGACTTGGGATACTGCAACTGCATGCTCCTAAAGCTGAATGTTTTTTAGAAGCTGCCACAATGGTTCCTGGGGATTGCGGTTCTTCAGAAAGTAGCCTCTATAGAGCGTAAAGGACCGCAAAATGATTCCCACATCCACCATGCCCAGAAGGGCTCAGTCCCTGCAGCTTGATCTCATTATGGCCGAAGTGTTAACTAACCAGTATGATTTGGGCCCTTCTAGACACAGAAAACACTAGAAGTCATAGTTTCATTGCCCATTAGGCTCCATCGAGGGTACCACCCGAAGAACAGTGACTCCCAGGAAACACCATGGCACCTTTCTTTTCCGCCCATTAAAACCAGAAACAAAGTTTGGAGAAGGCAGCCAATGGTTGGGGTCAGAAAGTCAAAGAGACATAACCCAAAAGCCCTTCTCTGGGAGAAGGATGTGACCTCTAGAGGTCTGCAGATTTGTGTTTGTGGGCTGCAAGTCCCAAAATTCTGCCTGGGGGATGACTGGATAATTCTGGTGGTAGCATTTTAAAAACACAGGCGAACACACCCTAGCTGTGACATGTTATTGTTCAAATGCATAACCTATACTCTGGACAAGAGACTATGGTTAGGACAAAACAGGAAGAAACAGAATGGTTTCCAAAACAGCAAATGTGTCACACAAAGATGCTTTTTATTTACTGTACTACAAGAGATCTTATTTCAGAAATTATATTGTAACTTATGTGGCATCTCCACATCCAGCAAAGTAGGTGCAGTGTTTGAAATGGTAGTCTTCTGGCAGAATCTCTAAATGAGCTATATCCTTGCACATGTATATCCACAATAGCTCCTTTGAAAGATATAGAAACAGAATTGAGATTCAAACTTTAAACGTAGAAAGACTGTCCTGAATGGGTACATGAACTTGCATTTGATATTATAATTTGAATATTTATACATTCTTTGGATACATTCAAATAACATATATTTTGTTCCCTCTCTAACATCTTAAATCCTACTTTGGAAATGGGTCCAACGTTTCACACATGAAATGCCTCCTTTTAGATGGTCCCCAAGTTGAAAAATGGCTTCTTTATCCGCATCCATTTTTTCAACTTGGGGACCATCTAAAATTAAGCATTTCATGTTTGAAACTTTGGACCCATTGGATGAGGACCCATCCTCATCTATTTAGGACAAATGGATGAGGACCAGCTGCAAAAGATCAGGTAGAGCCCACTGTAGAAAACATTCAGCTAGAATATTTTTCTCATGCCATTCTTAAACCACCATCAGCAAAAAAAAAAAACCCCAAAATAATATTAAATAATATTAAAATGTTTTGTTGCATTTAATAAAATAGCACAATATGGTTTACATAGGAACACTTTTTAAACCAACAGTCAGTAAAATGGTCATGAAGGGATTAGGACCAAGATGCCCCACATTATTTTGGCCAATGTTCTTTTAGATGTTCTTTTAACTGAGGGATGGTTGGTTGCTGCTGGTTGCAAACATGACACTTCAGAGGCAGTTTCAGGAGTTGAGCCACATTCCTGTCTACAGTTACTCCTCCTTTCTTCTTCACCATCTTAATCACATCTGAATGAGAATGAAAGGAGGATTACAAACATAATGTTTCTGAGATGACAGGCTCAGCTACATCTATGCTGTTAAAAGCTATGAAACATGTGCTTACCAGGTCTAGACTTTACATCACCATGCAGAAGAACAGTTAAGATTACGTCTCTTGCACAGTGTTTCTGCTTACCAAAAATATTTGCTTCTACCTGTGCTAATCTATAAAATAATATATACATATGCGCAGTACCTGTTTCCTCACATTCTTGCACTGCTACCCAGTTGTGCAACATTAAAACTATACAATTTTCTTCTAAATGAAAAATAAAGGAACACATAATTCTTACCAGAAATCTGAATCAATCAATCAATTAATTTTTGGCATAGAAAGAATAACCCGCCCTTCAGTAGGTCTCTGCTATTATCTCTACGAGTCACTGTTCTAGGGATACCGATGCCTAGGAGAAGCCATGCCCAAAATTTCTAACTGTGCAGAGACATAAAAGGTTTAAGATTGGTGGGGGAGGATTTGCCCCACAGTAGCATAGTCTGCAGGGCTTTCTCAGTGCTGACACCCTGACTCCCACAACAGTCAGCTACCCTCCATGATCTTGCACTCTGGCATCAGTTAAAAGAAGGGCTTTCAGAATAAAATCAAATTTTTCTTATTTGTCTGGTTTTAAGATGTTTTAATTTTAGATATCTGTAGTGCAGTTTCAGCAATTTTGTCTAGGTGGCAGCAAGCTCTTCTTCTATTCTACCTGTGTAACCAATGCCTATTACAGTATTCCAAAAAGTGATCGAAGCAAACTCCAGTGTAATGTCTTGCAGCCAAGAGATGGTGGAATGTCTCATAAGGATGTCTCTGCACCACAAGTTCTTATCTACCCTAAAACTGTGGATTCATCTGAGTGTGTCATAGAGTTTTAATCGTTCTCAGCACTCTCATCAAGCTATAACTCTCAGGATAATTTGGGAAAAATCAGGGAATTAAAGTGGCTATGTCTCTCATTCCAACGACTGCAAAAATATCAAAAGGGCCACCCAGGAATCAACTTTCTCTCCAACTAGGGTGGGGAACCTTTGGCCTTCAGCTCATACCACTCTTGCTGATGAAACGTATTGCCTGCAATTCCCAAGGTCCATGCTTCTGCTCTAGAATAATCCTAGGAAACACATCAAACTAGACATGACAGCAACAGCCATTTTTTATTATGTCTGACTGGCCTGGCTGTAAGTAAAATGAAAGGGGCATGTGTCTTCTTAAGAGGCAAGTCAGGACAGGTGGGGAAGGCTATACCCTTTCTTAGCTCACTGTCTCATTACTATTTTCTTCATTACTAGTGCTTGGGAGAAGATTGTCTAAAGTGACATTCTGCAGGGGATGATTAAATTCCATCTTCATGCATTTTCTTGATACTAAAACCAGACTTGCACCTCTATCCCACTTGCTTCAAAGGTGAATGGTATAGACTTCTGCTTAAAGAAACAAGGACTTGGTCATCACAGCCATGTTGACCCTAAGTTATGTGGAGATACACCGAATTACAAGCAAACAAACATGCAAAACTTCGAAGAGATGACCCAAATTATTACCTTTGGAGTCTATGAAATATTTGGTTGTAAACGAATTCCAGTGCTTCTTGGTTTTGAGACACTCAGAATCAAAATCCTGGCTGATGACATGAAGATGTAGGTGGCTGAGAAAAACAAAAATAAAAGAGAACAAAGGCCCCTTGTCTGGCTACACAGCTCAATGAGTTGGTTAGTAGGTCCCCACTATGACTCTTAAAGAGGAGAGCTGGCCTGAGTGGCCTTGGGCAAGCTACACAGCCCCAGAACATCTCCAGAAAAAGGGACTGATAAACCACACAGGCTGAGTATTCTAGACCTGGAGAACTCTAGAAAGGGGTTACCATGCAATTATTATTTACGGTTCTACTACAGTAATACAAAGCACCATTCATCTGACAGATCCCTTGCAGCCTTCACAATGTCACTGGACTGCAGCTCCCAGCATCCCAAACAATGGCCAAAGGCTAGGACTGGCAGAGGGGCAGTACACTGAAAATTTACCAACCCTCTAGAAAAGAATGAACTACAAACATTAGAAGTTGCTCTTTCCTTCTCACAACAAGCATTACACAAATGGTGAAAGGCATTCTTTCTATAGGGCATCTGCCAGTCACACAAATCAGATTTATATAGCAGTAGCCTCTTTTACAATCGTCACTTACCTCATACTGGGGATTGCATGGTAGCCCAGCCTGAAGCGCAACCTGTCTCTCTCAGAGCACTGCTGGATTATCTTTTCTCCAACCGCCTGCATGTGTTCCAGCAGTTCCAGGTGCTTTGGAGTTACAGCACTCAGAGTTGGAATAGATTCCCATGGCAACACTAACCAGTGATAGCGAGCCTTTGGAAACTTGTCCTTTATAACTACAGCCCTTTCATCCTTGTAAATCTAGCAGAGAAACCAACACATGCATGTTTAAACTACAATCTAATAACAATTTTATTGTCATGGAATATTTATTGTCACACATACATAAAGCACCAGCCTGAACCAAGGTAAACATGAAACCCTTACCTGCAAATCCGGGTTTTTCATGGAAACCTTCAGACCTTGATTCCAGTGTGTCAAACACTCCTAAGATACAAAGAAAAGTTTCTAACACATGCAGTTATATTGAAATCAATGTAAATGAATTCAGTAAGGTACACTTCTTATTGCTTCAAGGCTGTAGCCTAAAACGGCTCAGTCACATTGCAAGAATACTTAGAATCAATGTTCTCTCTAATTTTCGGCCCCGCAAGGCAGATCAGCGCCCTTCATGCACACGGCTCCAGTCATGACTGGAATCAAAGAGACGGAAACACTAGCTGTGGGTGTGTGCACCTGATGCAGGACTGCATACATCTCACACAGCACTGCACAGCCATGCAGCTTAGAGGGAACATTGTTTAAAATTCAGGAGCCATAAAGGATTCTGAATACTAGTTGAAAATATACATAAACCCAGCCTGATTGTAACTCAGAAGCCACTACTGAGAACAACAGTCATAGGATATATAGTTCAATATGCAGCATTCTCACTAAGGGCTTGAAGTAATTTGCATGCCACCTGGCTCTCATCAGTGATGCAACTCAGAAATGCAACATCCACCAATGAGCTCTTCTCTCGCCTCCCATATCCAGCTGCCAACAACCATGCACCCTTTTTCTATAAGCACTCCTCACAGGCTCCCAAAGTAAGAACATTTAAAGTGCGTCTGTATTACAAAGGTATCAACACTGCAGCTGTATCTAATTCACCCCTCCCATTGAAAGGATTATAATGAGAAGACAAGATTTCCTGAAAAAGTCAGTAATGCAAAAGTTGAAGACAGTAGGACAAGAGCAAGACTGTACATGAGATCAAATGATTCACTAAAACTAGCCATGGCTTTTAGTTTGCAAGACCTCAGGAGGAATGTTAACGACACGTCCTTTCAAAAGTCACTTGATTTGTAATGTTGGCGTACGTTGGAAGCAAGCTGACGGCACATAATAACTATTACCACCACCACGACCACATTAAGAGCAGAATGGGGAGCAGAATGCTCCCTCCTACAGCCCTCTGCCTATCCTCAAAATCGACTGCTACGGTGGGAGAGTGAGGGACTCTCCCAAATAGAACTGGACAAATGGGCAAATAGGAGAAGAGAAAGGAGCCCCACGAGGTCAGTGGAGCTCTCCTGAAATGGTGTTAGATATTACCTTATGCCAGTTTAAATGGAGCAGTATCATTCAGAACACAACTTCTTACAGAAGCCACCTCCTGATACTCCAATGCCTATTATCCCCAACATTGCATGGGCTTACCTTTTCGCTTGAAGAAGTTTCACATGATGAAACAGAATTATTGACGTCACTTAACTTGTAACCTGAACCATCGTCTTGTTGCTCCGTTTTAGCACGTTTTCCTGAGATACTTTCCACACTGCTGTTCTCGGGCTGATTTTGTGGCCTTTTTTCACCTCTGGTTTCTGCTGCTTCCTTACCAGCACATGATCCCATTTCCTCTAGGAATTGCACAGTGTATGGGTATAGCTTATTGACAACATAGAGAACTTGTCCTGGCTTCAGCTTAATTTCTTGGTCCTTGCCGATGTCCACTAGGTCAACACTAGTTGGGTTGACTCCTATCTTTAAAGCAAAAGAAATCTGCATCATTAGCGTTAGTCACCATACCAAAAACTGATATACCCTGAAAGCCAGCATCCTTGGAAAGACAGCTGTGGTACTTATTTATCAAAACAGCCCCAATCAATATGAATTTATTTTAGCAGTGAACTTCCAAAGAAACAGGATGTACAGCATTACAAGTCCACTCTCCAAAACAAGGTCTAGCTATGCTAGGATAAAACTGCAACAGGAATATTGGTTTGGATCGTTAGATAACTAATTTAAGGACACTCACAGAAGTTTACACTTATAGAAGTTATCAATTTCTTCATCAGCAGTCACTTATACTTTCTAACAAAGATTAATTAATTAGGAAACTCTCTCCTGAACAATGCAGTTTGAATACACAAGACTGCAGGAGTAGAGGAGAATCACTCCAGCTTACCCAAAACTTTATCCGACATTGGGCAATTTGCCTCTCCTACAACTCCACAAATTACCGTATACAGATCTTATCTACTTCCAAGAAAAGTGGAGGAAGTCTGCTTATTTAGCTGTACTTGAAAGACTGCTGTAACTCTGGGTGAAAATTGTTAAAAATTAACAGGAGGAAGAGACTATTCTTGGGCCAGGTTGGCAAAGGAATAAACTGATTAAATACTCGGTCATCTATAAAGGCAGTAAAACATCAGGTAACAAAAAGAGTTCTAGCTGATGCAGTTCAGTCCAATTCAACTGAAGGCAATACTGTTGCCTGTCACTCCCATCAGAACACAAGACCAGTTCAGTATCAAGGCACACCCCACACAGAAGAAAAATATGTCTTGTGAAAGACATTAAGGTTTTCCCCGTCTCTGCATTCAAAGACTTCTACATCAAACTTTAGAGCACTCCCATTCTTCTGATCAAATTAAGCTGAACAGAAATTATCCTAGGATAAACCCCTTATAGTCCTCTTTCTTTTTAAGTCCGTGAAAATGAAAAAGAAGCAAAGCTTTCATTCCTCAAGGCCTCCTTCTTTCAGATCTTGTGATTGGTCTTGCTTATCTCAGTTGCCTAGGCAATGACCTAGTACAGCTGTGGGAATGGCAGAGAAATCTAATCTATCTCACAACAACAACAACAACAACAACAACAACAACGAGACTACGCCTAGAACTAGGCAGGAGCAAAATTTACCAACATTACATTGGCTGCATTAGTTAGCTGGTAGATCTTTGACTATGGCCAAGATTGTAAGTGAAAGTGATTTAATATATTTAAATAGGGATTATTTTGAATTTAGAAATAAAAATGTTAAGCTTCTGGCTAAAGCATCCCCCCCAAAGTAAGAGTAATATAGGAGTTATAAAAAAGAGAATGTGGATAAATGCAATAAAATGAAAGAAAAACTAGAAGCTTTTCAAAAAAAAATTTTTTAAACTATATACAAGTAAGAATCCTACAGTATAGCAAAGACTGAAAAAAAAGAAAATTTAAAAAGTATTAACAGATGTGGATAGAGAAACAATGGAGAGAATAATTACAGAGGAAGAGATAGAAGGTATAATAAATACGTTAAGGCTAAGGAAGACATCAGGCACAGACGAATTAGGCCCAGAGTATTATAAAACCTTCAAAAAAATTATTATCCCAAAATTAAAGGATTTATACAATGGTATATCAAATAAAGAAGAAATTCCCCAAATCTGGAATGAATCATTAATAGTTTTAATTTTAACACCCAGTAAAAACCGGGTGAAAACTCTCAGAAGTACAAACTGGATTTCGAAGGGGCAGAGGAATTAGAGACCAAAATGGTAACATGCGCTAGATTATGGAGAAAGCCAGAGAGTTCCAGGAAAAAAAATATGCTTCTGCTTCATTGACTATGCAAAAGCCTTTGACTGTGGGGACCACAGAGAACTATGGCAAGTCCTTAAAGAAATGGGAGTGCCTGACCACCTTATCCATCTCCTGAGAATTCTATACGTGGGACAGGAAGCAACATTTGGAACTGGATATAGAACAACCGATTGGTTCAAAATTGGGAAAGGAATAAGACAACGCTGGATATTGTCCCCCTGCTTATTTAGGTTTTATGCAGAATACATCATTCAAAAGGCCAGACTGGAGGAATCCCAAGCCGGAATTAAGATTGCTGGAAGAAATATCAACAACCTCCAATATGCAGATGATGCCACGCTGATGGCAGAAAGTGAATTGACAAACCTAGACAGCATATTAAAAAGCAGAGACATCACCTTGCCAACAAAGGTCCACATAGTCAAAGCTATGGTTTTTCCAGTCGCAATGTATGCAAGTGAGAGCTGGACCATAAAGAAGGCGGACCACCGAATAATTGATGCTTTTGAATTGTGGTGCTGGAAGAGACTCTTGAGAGTCCCCTGGACTGCAAGGAGATCAAACCTATCCTTTCTGAAGGAAATCAACCCTGAGTGCTCACTGGAAGGACAGATCCTGAAGCTGAGGCTCCAATACTTTGGCCATCTCATGAGAAGAGAAGACTCCCTGGAAAAGACTCTGATTTTGGGGAAGTGTGAAAGCAAGAGGAGAAGGGGACGACAGACGACAAGATGGTTGGACAGTGTCACCAAAGCTACCAACATGAATTTGACTCAACTCCAGGAGGCAGTGGAAGACAGGAGGGCCTGGTGTTCTCTGGTCCATGAGGTCACAAAGAGTGGGACACAACTTAGTGACTAAACAACAAAAAAATCCTATAAATATGGAATCTTACAGGCCAATCTCACCGATAAATCAAGATACTAAAATATTCACGGCAATTTTAGCAGCAAGACTAAACAATTTCTTAGGGAAATATATTGTGGTTTAGGGTTTAGATTGTAATAGTGAATATTTTGTATTCTTGTATTTGTTTTCGAAATTTAAAAAAAGGAAATATATTGAGAAAGATCAAAACAGATTCATACATGTCAGACACAATGAGAAAGGTGCTTAATCTAATGCATGTGGCAAAAAAATCAAAATATAAGGCAGGAGTGGTATCCCTAGACATTTTCAAAGCGTTTGATTCGGTTGAATGGGATGCAGTAAAAATCTTGATTAAACAGACAGGATTTGGTACACACCTATGACAAATAATCCAAGAATTATATTCACAGAACTCTGCAAAAATAATAATAAATGATGGTATGACTGAATCAATATTCCTAGATCGAGGAACGAGACAAGGTTGCTCCTTATCTCCAATTCTATTTACACTGGTAATAAAGTGCTGGCACAAATACAGTGGTGCCTCGCACAGCGAGGTTAATCCGTTCCGGATTAACCCTCGCTGTGTGAAAACATCACTGAGCGGGACAGAAAAGCCTATTGGAACGCATTAAACAGTGTTTAATGCGTTCCAAAAGGCTCCTTTACTCACCGTTCAGCGATGTTCCTCTATGGCCGGCAGCCATTTTCGCGCCCTCCCCTCACTTAACGAGGGCGCGAAAACGCTGCGCGCGGCCATTTTGCGGCTTCTGGCGGCCAATCGCTTACCGACCTTCGCTCTGCGATTTTCAGCCATAGGGGCCATCGGTACGCGATCACATTTGCGATTGCGAAAACGTCCTCGTAGAGCGAAGTCATTGCTCTACGGGGCGCTCGTTGTGCGAGGCACCACTGTAATCGGAAATGATAGTTAAATTAAAGTTGTAGATACCGGAGGAGGATAAAATAAATCTCTTTGCAGAGGATACCTTATTGATACCATGTTTCCGTTTATAACACGTCCCTGCTTATAAGATGCCTCCCCCAACTTTTCTAACCCCCAAATTAAGATAACTTATCTTTGAGGATTCAGCCCCTGGGCTCAGAACGGTCAGACATTTTGAGTCTATTTTGCTCCTAAGCACTGCCTACAGGCTCCACCTCCATCAAGGTATGTTCCAATTGGTTTGTTCAGCATCAGCTGATGTCAGTTCCATAGGGCTTATGATTAGAGGTGGTGAAGTCTCCTGACTGTAGGAAGCTAAGCCTCCTGACTGAAGGAAGCCTGTCTGCAGAGGCAAGGTATGTGCCATTTTGTTCTCTCCTCAGCTATCTCAGCTTACTTCTGTGTAAAAGACGCCCCTCAATTTTTAGTGTAATGATTTTAGGAAAAAGTAGTGTCTTACACATGGAAAAATATGGTAATTAAAAGATACATTGCAGAAAATCAGAACACATTTAAATTTATTTGAAAAAATAACCAGTTTGAAAGTGAATTGGGAGAAATCCTAATGTATTTTATTAAATCTTTCTGAAGTGGATAAGAAGGAATTGAAAAAAAGAATTATAAGGAAGAATAGAGAGTGTAATTAAATACTTAGGAATTTATATTACATGGAATTTACAAGAAATAATTAAATTAAATATGGATAAATTGAAGAAAGAAATTAATGAACAGATAAATCAGTGTCAAAAATTACAATTGTCATGGTTTGGTAGAATCGCATTATATAAAATGAAGATTAACTTAACTTTGTATTTTGGATGCTCCCAATAAAGATTAGAGAAATATATTTGAAAGATTGGCAGAAGTTGAGAAATAATTATTACAATAGAAATAAGCAAACAAGGATCAATAAAAGATTATAGTATAGTAGGTGAAGGTGCCACAGGTGGGGAAAGTCCAATGTGCATTGTATGTAGTCACTGTTGAATTTGTATTTTAGTTTTAATATTTTTTTTAAAAGGAAAGTGTTTCCATCTTCCCCAAGCATAGTACAAATCTTTCAGAAGGTGATGTCTCCTAATCATGACGGTAGCTTAGGAGATTTGCTCCTGACTTTGCCACTAAACAATCTGTACAACATTTGTTCAGCACTGAGAAATCCAGCAAACTAAAATCTGCACCCAGCAGAGCCAGCAAAGAAACTAAGGAAAGGCTAGAAGAAAACTGGGAATCACACTGGGATAAGCTATTAACGCAAAGCTGTCCAGGGCAGCACAGTATGAAGGAAAACAAAGAAGGCAATCTCAGCAGGGTACCTAAGCACAGCTGTTCCACCAGAAGGGCCACGGCAGAGACACAACTAATAGTAGTCTCACATTTCAGCTTCTCAGTTTTGAATATTGGCTTTCAGATATGTGAAAATGGAGGCTGAGGATGACAGATTCTGCAGATGTTCCTCTCACAACAAACTGCTGATTTCAAGCTGTTTCCTCTCATATGGTTTACTAGAACTTCACATGTATAATTCTACATGTTTATCAAGTGCTTTAGAAGTAGCATAATCACAATGCCCTGCTCATAACTCCATGCCAAAGGCTAGCTATTGAAGAACACAAGTATTCTGTTTCCACTCAAATTGTACAAAGTGCAAAGCAGCATTCTGCAATACCTGTATGGGGAAGAAAAAACATACCTGTTTAACCTTGACATAACCTTTGTTGCAATCTGCTTTTAGCTGCACTGAAAAAAATAATAATAATAGAGTATTAGGCCCCAAATAAGGCATTTTGTCATAAAGAGTGGCCAAGAATATATTGGTCAGCAGGTCGCCGGGGTAGGGGAGGGGGGTTAGGTTATTCCAAAACAGTAAACATTTTGATGAGACGTAACTACATTGAACAAATTTTAAAATTTCAAGCATCCACTAAGTTTTCCAGCCAGGAAAATCAAAAGCTATTATACCATTCCAGAAAATATGCAACCAGAAAATTATCATGGAGCTACAGCTATGTAGAATAAAATTGCCACTGCAAATGCAATCATGCTTTAAGAAAACATTTACTGCTATCTCACTATTTACTAAAGACAGTCCTTATATTCTACTGCCTGTCATAGGAAGGCAGGTGGGCAAATAAGTAAGAATCTTTGTTCTGTCTTTGGAAAATGCCAAGCAAGCCTTCTCAAAATTGTGGTAGTGCACACATATATGCTCTAGACCAGTGGTTCTTAACCTGGATGGTATCTTTCAAAAAGGTTAAGAACCAGTGCTCTAGATGTCTTCAGGTTTCTGCCACCACTCTCAATCTCTAGAAATTATATGCATGTAAATGAAAAGACCTAGGCTTCAAATCACAGCATATTTCAACACATTTATCCCACTATCCAGATAGTACATGTTGCTGATTATCTTGGAGTTGCAGCTATTGCACAAGGATAACCAAATTTATCATGATATTAAGAATTCAAACATACCTATATTTATAATTTAGATTGTCCTTTATAAGTCAGTCTACTACCACATCCGAATTCAAAGGAAAAAAAAGCAACTACATAACACAGTCTTTAGTAATAAGTAAGGAAATGTTGGGGTTCAGGCAATGAGCAGGCTGCTGGGCTTTGCGGTGATCACCAGATAATGGATAGCAAAGAGTCTCTTAGCAATAGATTAAAGAAGTCAGCCACACACACAGATGGATGTCTGCCAGCAGTCCTCCTGGTGGGTGACTCAACAAGGAAGCAGAATGAGAAGTTGTCTGTCCCTCTGCGATGTTCTCTCTCTCTGCCACCAGGAGACTGTCCTTTTATTAACATTACAAGGTCACAGGTAGTGACAGCATTACAGAGAGTAGACAGGGTCCAGATAGGACAATGGTTACATTAGGGTTGGTCTGGAGAAAGGCAATTAATCAAGCCCTCTGATTGGCCTAAGGAAAGGCCTCTATAGCAAGCTCTATATGACAATGAGAAGGAGGGAGAATGATGGCAGCTCCTTCCCTCAGAAGCAGCCACAGGATGCTAAGAGAGTTTTCCCTCACTAGAACACCCATGTGGCTTAGCAACCTTAGGAATGGTACCCCCACAAGGAAATAGTGAAAACCCAAGCCTCTACAGCCAAGAATCTGTAGAAGTCCAGATGTTGGACTCCAATTCCAGCAACATTTGGGCACCACAGATTTCCTAAGTCTGCTTGAAAAAAAATTTTTTTTAAGTAACAAGAGTGCTCCTATGATACTATATTAGACTACTATTCTGTCACTGCATACATGACTGTTGAAATGCAATCCTCCATGATAAAACATATTTTAATTTATGCTTAATGTTTAATGTTGTGGTTATGTTTGACTTCTGTAAACTGCCCAGGGTAGTGGTTTGCTACCTGATGTGTGGTATAAATATAAAACAAACAAATAAACCAGCTGTAAAATGTATACAGAATTGCTGTAATTCAGGCAACAACCATGTATTATCTCTGTACAGCAGGTCAGAGGCTGTTTGCTTATAGTCACTGGCTGAGGTTAGTGTATCAATGTGCAACGTGGGGCACTCTAGCTGTTTTAGGACTACAACTCCCCAAATCCTTCACCACCGGACACACTGTCTTCGGATGATGGGACTTACAGACCATCAAACATCTGGAGGAACACAGCTGCCTACCCTGTTTTAGCAGGTTCGGTCTGAACCAGGCCCTTCCTGATTGAGCCTCTCAGCCACAAAACTACTATATCCTATTTGACATCAAAGCAGTCATGATTCAATGCCAAATAAACACAAATAACAACTTACAATGCAATCCTAAAATTAATTCACTCAGAAATAAGGCTTACTGAGTTTAATGGAATTTAACTCCTTTGCATGTTTAGGATTGCAGCCTTAATCTCTACTTTACCTTGTCTTCGTGAACACTTCTGGTCTGTTATCTCCGTTTCAGGGCCACGCCCTATCACCACCATTTCTAAGTGTGGTAGTTTAATGCGCCGACAGCTTCTATCTCTGCTTACTAGCCAGCAAACACGCATTGTGCTCCAGAGGGGAAGAAAAAATAGCTTTAATGAAATTAATTTAGGTTTAACTGAAGAAAATGACCCATAGGTTATTCAGAAAATCTGTCATTTTAATCCACAGCACTCACTGGATGTAGGTTTTAGCTTCATCTTTAAAAATCAATCCATGGATGTACAAATAAAGGGAAGAGGACCTAATGGGACACAAAAACTTTTGTGGTATCTTTTGTAAGGTCCGAAAATAACTTTGTGATATCTTCAAATAGCATATGAACAAAAGCCTAGCAAGCTCACATTAGCTAGAAATATACAAGAAGTGATTAAACTTACGTATTTGAAGAATTTGTGAAAAATAAAATTATATAATTCTTCAGGTCGAGAAAGCATGATATATGTTGACTGATGAAGCACTTACTTCTATACGAGCATCACAGAAGATAACCTGTAGAAGGATCACATTAACATTTACAGTATTATTTTAAGACTGTTTTCCAGCCCCAAGTTTGAAGTACTGTATGCCTAGAAGATTTTCAACCAGCTAACAGTTCAAGGTTGCTTTCATCTCCCTCCAACAGGAAAAGTAGGAGAACCTACTCTTCCGCAAGGATTATGAACCATATAACCTGTATATTTGGGTTTATGGTTGTTAAGGCTCTATGGTGGACCTCTTGCTATTAACTATGGGGGGCTACAGGTCTCATAACCAAAATATGCATTTCAAATTTACATGGGTATATAAAACACATACAAAAATATGGGTTTCTTAAATGGAATGGTCTTATGTATGTGCCGGCAATGATAGAAACTAAGTAGCTGTATTTTACTTGAAGTCTTAAACATGTTTTTGTAAACCCTCTCAGTTCAAAAGGGTTTATTCCTAGTGGATAGTATGATGGACTAGGAGTCGGACTCTGGAGAACAGGGTTCAGAATCCCCACTTGGCCATGAAAACTCATGGGGGGGAGTGGAACTGGTAAAATCACTCCTTAAATATCTCAATTATCTTGAAAACCCTATTGGGGTTGCTGTAAATTGGTTCCACCTTGACAGCACAGAACACAAACAAATTTAGGGGAAAATGCACCCATCTAGGTTATGATTCATATACACAGAACTCCTCCAAACTGCCTATGAACAGAAGCTTTTTCTGAATTGTGAAGTCGCATGCTATTTTCATTCATGGCATGCAAAACACAGAAAACTATTTTAGACTCGTTTGTGCAAAAGGCACTCTTTTTTCCACTTTATTATGAACCAGGGTGCAATTCGGCCTAGAACATCTTTTCACTTGCAGAAACTCATTCCCTTTCCCAAATAAGGAACAACTGCCAGGCCTTTCTTTTAGGAGACAAGAAGACTGACATGCAGGTCCTTCGTTGTAATTCCTAACTTCTTAACACAGTTGGAAAAGCACATAATCTGCTTGAATAAGGAACGAGCGAGCTCTGCACCTGCAGTGCATTAAGGGCAAATAGCTCATGGTGGTCCTACGATAACCTTGCAGTATTCAAATCCCAAAAGATTCAAGTTCTGTTTCCTGATCCCGTGCACATCTACCAGAAAATAAATGCTTTAAAAACTGTAAATTTAACCGACGTAGCTTTCAACGAGCTCAAGATGCAAAGCATGGCAGCAGGCTGCTACCGATAAGGAAACCGAAGCTGCAAGCTGAAGATACTGTCGCTCTCAACCAGGCTCGAAGCCTAGCACTTCTGCTTAGAAGTCGTGCTTTCAGAAAACATAGGCTTACTCCAATGGTAGGTAGGAGGATGAAACCACCCCAGAGTAAAAAACGTGTTTTCACTACAACAGCTGACACAGGGCCCTCTCACGACCCAATTTTCCACGCGCCCTTCTTTGGGCCCTCCCGCAAAACCCCCTTATTCTTCCCCTCCTCACCCGCTCCTCCTCCTCCTTCCCTTCCCAGTCCACGTTTCCGCTCACCTCCACGCGGCCATCACCGCCCACCTCCTCTAAACTTCCGCAACCAATCGCCGCTCGCTTTGCTCCGGCGAGACCAATCAAATCGATTCTTTTCATCTCCGCCTGACAACCGGCGCGCCGCCCCTTGTAACCCATTCCGAGCCGCCCGGTCCAGAGCGAATTGGTCGCTTGAGGGCTTTTTGGTGGAACTGTGTTGGTAGGGTGTAAACTGCCTTGCTTCTTTTTTAACTTCCTCAATAAAAACGTGTGAATAAGCAAAAGTGTACGATTCTGGAATTTTGCACCAAATTTACTGAGGATTTGTCGTCGTTCGGGGTCATCTTGATATCTAATCAAAGGAGAAGTGTTGGTCCACAAGAAGGAGAAAAGTCAAAACCAAGAGGCAGGCAATACGCTTTTGAAGAGCATGGAAACGTTAGGAGTTTTGAAAACAATGATTGTTACAGCTGCCAGAATCCCGGTCCACTATTGCTGGTTCGGGGGAATTCTGGGAGTTGTGGTCCAACCCCCCCTCCAACAATTGTTACAGCTGCCAGAATCCCCCTCCACTATTGCTGGTTCGGGGGATTCTGGGAGTTGTGGTCCAACCTCCCCTCAAAAAAATCCCTAACGTTTCGCAGCTCGAACTTTATTAGAAGCAACCAATATGGGAAGCCGCCGGCTCCACCAACCCCGGCGATTACTATGGGATGCAAGAGGAGGCGGTGCTTCCGGGAGTGGGCGAGGCTTTCTTGAAAGAGAAAAAAGTCCCCGGATGCTGCTTAGCCGCTGAGACCGGCTCGGAACTTTCGAGAAAAGTCGAGGGTGTCTTCTCGGTGTGCCACAGAGAGGAAGAAAGAGAAAGAAAGAGAAAGAGAAGATTGTTACAGCTGCCAGAATCCCGGTCCACTATTGCTGGTTCGGGGGAATTCTGGGAGTTGTGGTCCAACCCCCCCTCCAAAAAATCCCTAACGTTTCGCAGCCCGAACTTTATTAGAAGCAACCAATATGGGAAGCCGCCGGCTCCACCAACCCCGGCGATTACTATGGGATGCAAGAGGAGGCGGTGCTTCCGGGAGTGGGCGAGGCTTTCTTGAAAGAGAAAAAAGTCCCCGGATGCTGCTTAGCCGCTGAGACCGGCTCGGAACTTTCGAGAAAAGTCGAGGGTGTCTTCTCGGTGTGCCACAGAGAGGAAGAAAGAGAAAGAAAGAGAAAGAGAAGGGCGGCAGAGGCTAGAGTCCGCGGCTGTGGCGGAAGACGAGGGTCGCCTTCAAGCTCGCCGTTGTGTCGGTTGAAAGCGCGGGCGCGTGGTGAGTGAGAGACAAAAAAAAGGGGGGCTCTCACCTCCCTTCCCCCCCCTCCGCGCGCGCCGGGTTCCACAAAAGGCGGGCGGACGGGCGCGCGCGGAGGCAAGCAAGGCCGTTACCCACGCGCCGGTGTCGTTAGGTGGGAAGTCTGTGCGCGAGAGAAAATAAAAGGAGAA